TCTCTTTTGTGCCACAGTATTATATGTTGAGTGGAGTCTACCAATTGGAGAAAATGTCATGCAGGGTCCTTGCTTGCATGAGGCAAACTTCTCGAAAGTTTGCCTATGATCATGAAACAATGTTTTGCTGTTTTTACCCTTTTCTTTGTGTCCGATCGACGAGAGTGAAGTTGCGTCAGACAAAAAAATCAAAACACCGCTTTTAACTCTGTTATGGACCAATCCGTGGACTACTAAGTGTGACCAATTGTCGAGAAAATTCATCGATAGCACCGCTGCAGATATTGATAACGAAACAACTGAAAATCTCACGGATAGTGATAGATAATTGAACAAAAACTTTCAACTTGTGTTCAGTATCGTGCAGTTTGTTTCGTATGTTCCCAACTATATCCTGAAACTCGTTTCAAGTCTATACACTACAAAAATTAGGATAAAAAACAGTCCCCTTTTTAGATTCAAAAAGCCTTCATTGGCCATCACTTTTGTACTGTACTTCATCCTTGGGTTTAGCAGTTAGTTTAGTTGGAAAACTGAAAACATGAGTCAAGATATATCTTTGCAATACAATCAATGAACAGCGCTGTGTCCATAGCGACATTGACGAACAACACCGAACGAGAAACTATAAGGCAGGTTCGGTTTCATACAGAGACGATAAGACATGCTTTTGCGTGAGTATCTAACATCTGGGCGGTGTAGCGGCTCCCTGTAACCCGAGCGGGAGTAAGAGAGATGGAAGTCGGAGCTCTTGCAGAGAACCACTGGGATCATGTCGAAGGCACGTCCACTTGAAGCGTGGAGTCTCTGATCTGGGTTCTTCCGCGGAAGCGCGAGGAGTCTGGGGAAATAATGCGGAAGGCACAGCGTGAGGCGGGTGCCCGAGCAGCGATCACTTTCCGCTCTGCGCAGTCGAGGGACAGCGTGCTTGAATGCTTGCCAGTGATCATCCCATGTGAGCAGTTTTTTGCGACCTTTCTCTGATAGACTTTTTCTTGCGGTCGATCATGAGGAGTTTTCGGAAACCTGTAAATTGTACGTAAAGTTCGCCTTTAAAATGGCCATCATATATAATGCTATGTTCCAGGCTTCGAATTACTGTCTGAGCAGGGATGATGTTCTTCGAAGACACGTGGGGGCCGTTCAGATTCTTTCATGGAGATAGTACAGTGTGGGAAATCATTTGGTGGACTGAGCACGATCACAACATCGCAGACAGAATGCTCCCTTATTCCCCTACGTTTTTCACATTAATTTGCTTCATTTTTTATGGATGAGAGAGGGTGGATAAAGTGAGCCAAAGTGTCACCTCTAAAATTTTAGTCTCGTCCCTTATTCATGGGGTGTCAAAAGAGTACAAAAATGGCGAATCTGGGAGTCTACCTGTTTAGTTTTTTTCAGTTGAGTTCAACCATTAGTCTAAGCGTGTTCAGTATACTTTAAAGCTAACATCCTTTTATTGATATGGATGGTCCAAATTATTGATTATTTTTAAATACAATCAATGGATGGAAGAATTGATTGTGTACCATATTGAAACTGGAACAAGTCTTTCTGGAGGTTGTTGAAATATACCAGATAGCAGTCAGTGAACTTCCAAGGTATTTGGGACATGGGCCTCTATAAATAGCCGTTAACTAGCGCATCGAGCTGAGGTTTTGTTTTGCTGCACTCTATCCATTCTTATCCTAGGATCGTTAGAAGGAACAGCAGAAGCTTCTTTGGATGCTCTTGACGATTTAAGATCGCTCGCAGACTTCTACCTCAGGCAAATACATCATAGATTTTATTCTCTAGCCTCGAGTGAATAAGCTGGTGTTCAGCAACGATGATAAGATTTCGAAGTGATGAGACATAAACAGAGGTGTCCGTCCAAGCTTATGGGAAAAATTTATGGTAAATTCACGAGAATCAGATCACCAATCTGTTAAGCCATCACTATCTCCATCAAGCCTCAAGATAAAATTCAGTTCTCTCGTGGCTAAATACATACGCTAATCAATACTTCAGAGTCTACCTCATGTACAGTTGGGTACCCGACCATCACTACTGTGGATAGAAAATTCTCCACGCTTCCACCTCCCCAAAAAAATGGATCAATCATATTCAGTTGATACATTCTCAAGAAAACTGGAAAAATGACAGGACAGCCTAGATCTGTCACAATATTTGATTTTAGCTGCTACCGCTCGCAATCTACATGAATCAGGTAGGTGCAAGAACCACTAAGTGTGCTGGGAAGGTCTCACTGAAACGGTTATCAACTTATGAATGTCTTGTAATCTTTCAGCCTCAATGTCACATGCTTCATTGCACAAGAACCTGATAAGAAAAATCCATAATTCTGACGAAGATATTCTTAAAACTGCATAGGCTATGGCTTTTCTACGTCTGCAGAAGGTAGTTAAAAATTTAGCAAGACATAGGAGGCACAAAAATCTACTATTTGTATGGTGGTCTTTATGTCGTAATAGTTGCACCATTGCTTCAAAGCTTGAGGATCCCTATACATGAAACTAAGAAGTCAAATCCAATGTGACGCGTCTTTCCCTGTATATCCTCAAGTCATGCAACTGTTATTTTGAAATTCATCCATGGCACTGGAAAAGTGTGTTACGAGCATTTCGGATATATGAACTTCAGAACCGCTGTCCAGCCTGTTAAATGCAGTTCGGACACTTGTCTTTTCTATTTCTATAAGGTATATTTAAACTGGAAACGCCTCCAAAAGTTGTAACAAAATTCACATCGTAGAGTTGAATTTTCCTTACATAAATTGCTTCATTGCTGGTTGAAAACTATTTCCATAACAATTTTTTTTACTTATACACCAATAATATAACTAAAATTATTCTTCGAAACAAATTAATAATGTAGTAATTCCGTAAAATATATTTTTTATTTTTCTTATTTCTTAAATATTTTTTGCTCAAAAAATCTACATATTTCTTCTTTTTATTTGATGAAATTACGGATTTTATTATACATAGATTCAGAAGATTATATCTAGCAAAAAAAAATTCCTTGAAATAAATGTCATTGAATTTTTTTATCATAGATGAACATTTATATATGTACAGCGCATTTTCAAAGACTTACATCCAACCAAAATTGAAAAAAGGGAGGTTACTTTGGAAATTACACTTTAAATCTTTCTTCAAATGAGGTTTGCATGAAAATAATTATATTTATTTTCACCTATGATGAAGATTTAAAATTCTATACAATTCTTAAATGAAAAAACTATAAGTTATCGCATAGTTCTTGCACTTAAAAAAATGAAAATCAATTAAAACCGTGGAATCAAATCCATGTGTCACTTCAGATTTTACATTTTTTAAATTTTGAAAATCAGTTTTATAAAGATTTTTATCTAACATTCTACAAAATTCAAACTTATATTTTACAAATTTTTAGTATAATAATATTTTTTCCAATTATTATTTATAATTTTAAAAACTTATATATAGCTCAGTAAAGTTGAATATTAGTTTCATATATTTGTCACAGTTCAAACCTTAGAAAATTCACTTATCACTCAAATAAATAACTATCATGTTCATTGTAATTTTCTAAAATCAGGATTTTTTTTTATTTAAATTGCCACGTCATACAATAATCAAACACTTCATCGGACATAAATCTTGAGTATCGATAATTTTTCGCTTGACACATGAAAGACTAAAAGAAAAAATCCATAATATATATTCACCCTCAGAAATCTTCTTACAGCTTCCCTCTTGTTAACTAAACCCATTCAACTTATTTATCCGACCTATCGAAGATCGAATATACTTTCTTCGTGCACTAATATTATTAAAAAAAAATAGCTCTCCAAAAATAATATCTTATTTGAGCTTCAAATATCACTAGATTTTTTCATGTAAGTCCCTTTACTGTCAATAACTTCGCATAAAAGCTTCAGCCATAGGCTTTAGCTAAAATGACATCTTTTATCTTTTCTCGAGAAATACCGCATAACTTGTTGAATAAATGCACTTTTCGGCGGCTACGAGGACGCCCAGAACGAAGGAGTTTCAAAATCTAATGTGGCCCTTATTGATGCAAGAACCAAGCTTCGAATGTGGTCATTCAAAGCCAACATCAAGAGCTTCCCCTCACATAGAGCTTAACTACCTCCCCCCTCAACCAGCTTGGATTGGCTGCCTATTGATACAAGCGGCAAAGAATGTTAGTCACTCGTAGCACCTTCTTCAATGACATGATAACCCTTATTTGTTCGTATTTACATTATACCTCTGTCTTGTTGGTTGACACAAACAACCTCATCACTTTAACGCAACATTTGTAGCTCGTCTCAACATATTCACCAACATCAATTATTCTAACAAACTCGATAAACTTGTATAAATAAATGCTTCACCACTTCAGTCACGTTGGAGAATGAAAATGATCAAAAATTCCATAACGAGAACCAAGATGAACAACGACACACACACACACACACACACAATATTTGCTTAGACATCGAACTCCAACTCATCATAGATGGTTATATTCCTTATCTGTTCGCAGAAGACACCATTATCCTATTATCCTGACAAGTACCACTATATTCGACTGAAATAGAACACCATACGCTCATAGTAAAATTGACCATAAACCTATCCAAAGATCGTTATTAGCTCCCAACACCAAAACTCTGACCACCACAAGCAATAACAACCCCATGTACTAAATATTTCCATCTAGATCTGTCTCCATGTCTGCAAAGATATAATGTGTGAACAAGGGAATCACAGTCACACTGTCCTATATTGTAGTCAAATGGGTACATTTATGGAATTATAACAATCGCAGCTCCATACAGCAAGAAATTAAATCGTGTTTTCTTCGTCTCTGGCTGATGCCTTGTCACGAACAATCGGGTGTGCCAGTAATGTAATCCCTAAACCGTATGACTCGGAGACGTACAAATAAGATAAGGGCAAGGAACTTCTTCCGATGTGACTTTAAGCCGTTCTCGTAACCAATCCACCATTAGTTAGCGGTCCTTGAGTCTGACGGTGGTCTGCCGTGGATTGTGTTTGACGTATTCTGCAAGTCTCGTAATCATTCAGGTTAGTGGAAGCAATTCTCAATACTACAAGGGAGCTGATTGCTGGTCAGTTTTGATTGATAACACTTCGGGTCGATCGGAAAGCTAGGAAGCATCGGTCTGTGTGTCGGAGTACAGAGCAAGCCTTCGAAGTGAATTTTCCCTGCTGCATATACTGCTGTTGAATTCGACTGCAGATTGGAAGCAGATACAGGCAATGGATCCCCCACAGTCAGGGTCAGGGCCCGAGGCTGAGCCCACGAAATCTTTGAAATCGAAGGTCGTTAGCAAAGTTGCACCGAGCTTCGTTACAGAGCATCCGGAATTCATTTATCCATCTGTAGTCGACATTTACGTTTTGGACATTTACATGCCTGTTCTTAGCCTGTACCGGTTAGACACTACTCTTCCCTGGGCGTTCTCGGACTTCGTCCGTAATCTGAAAGACTCTTTGAGCAAGGTTTTGAGTTTGTATTATCCCATGGCGGGCAAGTGGGTCGTAGCAGAGGACTTGTACATTCGGAAGTTGCACTGCAGCGATGAAGGCCCAGTGTTTGTGGAGGCGACTGTCGATGATGACATGGATAAATATTTCGACTTCGACCACGACTTAAATCCTCCACCGGATCTGTATGGAGAATCCTCTATCCCAGGAATCAGTCTTGAGGATCCGCAATATATGCCGGCGAACAAAGAGTGGCCCAGCTTAATCATTCAGGTTAGTGGAAGCAATTCTCATACTCCCAGCGAGCTGATTGCTGTTCACTCCCTGCTCGCTCTCAAACTAGTCGTTTTCAGCTCGCATCAATGTAGATACGACAATTTGGTAATCTCTGTGTAGAAGTTGCAGATGTGAAATTCTGACAGTTCCTTCGTGAATGATTCAATGTGCAGGTGACGGGCTTCAAGTGTGGGGGAGTTGCCCTCATCGTATCATTTAATCACATGCTCACCGATGGCTTCTCCTTTGATCGCTTTTTGAAAGCTTGGTCAGAAATTGCAGCCACTGGGCAGACGTCCATGAAGCCCAATTTCGATCGATCGTCTTTACCCTCATTGCTCAACAAAGGACAAAAGTACGGGTTAAGTACAGACATGAAGAACGTGGACGATGTGCTGTCAAACATGTTCAGGAATTTTCCTCCAATTCACGATCCCAGATCGGTAAGTAAGTGTTACGACATCAAATCGGACGCGGTTGAGAGGATCCGTCAGAAAGCGAAAGAAGGTCATGCCTCAGAGAAACTGGAGCTGCCAGAACGATTCACCAATTTCGAATGCATCTCGACTCAAATGTGGAGATGCTTTTCGAGGCTACCCAGCGGCCATGAACGCATGACCAGCAAGAATAAGGTTCATTTTCTCTTTCCGGTGGAAGGAAGAAAGCGAATGTGCAATCCTCCACTTCCAGATGATTATGTCGGTAACATGCTTCTGTCAGTGGCTCCTCCGATAATGACGGGCCCTGAATTATGCGAGAAGTCTTACGCCTGCGCCGCTTGCGAAATCCATAAATCGATTCTCAGCCTGAACACCGAGACGGCTTGGATGAGAATCGACGAGCAGACCAAGGGAACGATCCAAATGACACTCACCCCTCGAGAAAATCTGCCAGAAACACAGTCGGAGAAACCCGACGCTAGCCCGACGCCATTCGCATGTGCACTGTCGTCATGGATTCGATTCACAAACCTCTACAATTTGGACTTCGGCTTCGGAGTCCCGTTTCGCGTCACGCTCTGCTCGTTGCACACAATTCCGGACTTTCCGTTGGCCTATTTTTTGCCCCCTCGCCCGCAATCCGGCGATGTGGCCTCCTTGTTCCTGCGGTCAAGTCCCTGGATGGCCGACTTACTTCTTCAGGATCCTGAGTTCCAAGATTTTGTCTCCTGAGGCGCATCCGATCTGTCCTTGTACACGTGCCTTCCGGGCAGCGGGCCAACTGGATTACATGCATTAGATGCAGAAGGACATCTTGTATCGCTGTCCGGGCCTAGCCCCATTCAGATTTCCGCCTGTTCCATCTTGACAGGATCTCTGTTTTGTTCTCATCGTTTTATTTGTTGTCCGAAACTAGATAGGTTTTCCTAATAAAGTTACAGTCTCCTTGGAATCTCTAAATGTCTCTTAAAGTTTCGTGGACAAGTTTCCCATGAGGTCTATTCCATTTACATGGGGAGATAAAACGTGACCAAGAAGATGTTGTTATTCCGATATGTACATTCTAAACTTTGTAAAAACTAGGGATAACATGTGTTACTTTTTATATAATAGATACTAGTTAACAAAAGCATATATGATTTTATAGACTATAGTTCTGTTTATAGTTGAAACAATAAAGAAATTGAATTTCTGTAAATATATCATAACAGGATAAATAATATAATTAAGTATAAACCGTAATTTTTACCAAGTATTGAAGTAAAATACAATATATTAAGAAATACCAATCTGATGTAAAAATCATATATATATATAATAATAAATATTGGTAATATTATATAGCATCTAAAAGTCTCCAACTAGTGAAAAATACGAATGTGCACGATTTTGCAGCCAAATCATGAAAATTGAACAAATTTACAATGCGAAATGTGCTTTCTGGATTATAGTTTCACAACTGTAAATGAATTTACATTACGCCACATTATGTGATGCAAATAGGTAACTTTGAAACTCATGTACAATTGAAGATGACAAAATCTACATACGAGTTTCGTATGATATCAAAGACTAAACGATGTCCATCATGCATCTGACTTTTGTAAGTTTAGTCATTTCAGAGTTATATAACATAACTTCTTGGTTCAGATATGGTGTTAATTTATTGCTTACCTTTTGAATGACAATGATTTGATGGTAATTCAGATTAACTTCACAAAATTGATCATATTAAAATATCTTCAATCATATGTTTTGGTGAGATTTTTGAATGCAAATTTTTGGTGAGGGAACGAGTTCTTTAATGCTGTGTAGTGTTATTTTATCTCACAAAGCAGATTGATCAAACCGGTAAAGGTTACATTGAGTTAAAGTATAATAAACATATAATCTACATGAAAACACTTATTGATGGAGTAATATTTTTTTTCTGAGTGAACAATATTTGAGAAAGTTTATGATATATTGAATTTAAAGTACAGAATATTTTGAGCGCAAGATTTGGCAGTAGAGTGAGGGCAAGTGCTACAACATACTTACAGATTTAACCAATCATGGAAACTGTTTAATGTTAAAACTTGCAATTGTAAGTCCTTCTGTTATTTATTATATCACATCATGAACACACATAACTTTAATACACCACGTGTTCGGGAAAAGGTTTTACTGTGACGGAATATGTTCTACCAGAATAAGCTACGATATAAATTGTGGACAGCCGGGGCCAAATGTAATGTAAAAAAAATTAATACTTCAATACTTCATAACTGTTTGAAGAATATGATCTAAATAAACCTAGATTTTTTGGTGCAATATTTAGTTCAAAGATAGCAAGAAACGTATTTCATGGTAGTGGTTCATATTTAGTTCAAAGATAGCAAGAAATGTATTTCATGGTAGTGGTTCATATGAAACACATTCAGGGATCTGGTGAACATGTGCATTCTTATTCATTTTTAACAAAACAACAAAAAAAGAAGAAAATCCCAAAAAAGGTGCATCGAACCTGCTATCCTTTCAAAAGCCCGTACTTACTTACGTCGCAATCGCAAAGGAAGTGTGCTTAATACAACACCGTATGTATGAAAGTACGAATATCCGACTCCTGTACACGTGGCGTTTCCCCGCCAAGTTGCGGTGATTTGACATGCGGCGCCTTCGCAGTTGAAAAACGGCTCTGTACCCGCGGCTGTGCAGCACACGCTCCGAGCCCGTCGAGGTGCGCAAATTTGAATTTCTATCCGTTCGTCCCGAAACATGGGACCTGGACTGAGGGAGGGCAAAGACTCGTCGCGCACGAAACTCTTCGAACTCAGCGTCCGATGAGCGCAGCAGCATCGAGGAGCTTGAGACTGCAGGGCCTTGCAGAAGCGTCTGGAGTTCCCCGAGAAGCGGGAGCGCATGAGCTTTGCATCGATGTCTGCAGCACCGCGCGGATGCGCAAGGCGGGGACTGGCGAGAAGAGAACGGAGCAGGGCATCAGAGGCGTAGGTACTTGGGTCGTGATATCTTCTGGAATGGGGTTCGCAGATTTCTTCAGGTAGCTTCGGCTGATCGTGAATCGGAAGCCATGAGTGGGAAACAAGAATTGAGCCGAGGCGAGTAGACGACACAAGATTTGGGGAGCTGTAGCGAGTAGTTTATGGCTGTAGCTTATGAAGCGTGGGTATGTCCATCCTGGATTGACTGGGTGTTGAAGCAGGGGAGAAGTAGCGCAGCTGATTTTGCAAGAAATGGATTCGTGATCGGGACGAGATCGATGTCGATTTTGAGGATTTAAACCGAGAAGCACATTGGGATGGAAGGAAGGCACAGAGTTTGTATGAGGACAGACGGATTAGTTTACTTCTAAGGTATATTGGCCGAAGTTTGCAGAGGTTGGAGAATAAAGTTTTGTTTAGTAGCATGAGACGAACTGTGTAGTGGGAATTATGGAGAGAAATAAGACAACAGAGCAGGTGAAGGCTCTCAATCAGTTCTCCCGACGCCGGTTCAAGCGGCGAGATGGCACCGGGCGTGTAACCACAAATCGTGTCGTCAATTTCAACAAATTGTGAGATTCTCCAACACCAGGCTTCCTTTTCTACCGAGAGGGATATAACTCGGTGTCCAATTCCGAGCTGCGTGCTTGCTTCGGTGTTCTAATACAGCTAGTGTCAGCTATTGTCCGATATTTTCCAGTCATTATCTAGATTCAAATCATAAGTGCGGACAGTTTCTCAATTCCGATGTAATTTGACAGGTTGCTCAGTGGCGAGAAGCCGACCCTTCCGACGGCTAGCAGGTACTTGAAAGCAATCCTATCACCGGTCGAACTTGAGCATCCCCTCATGCTTGTATAGTTAGGACCTACAACTTCGTTTACTTGCAGGTTGTCAGTGCTCGCATTGCTTATAAAATTCGAGAATTTCTCGTATTGTTGGGTAATCAAAGTTCCGTTTCGACGAGAATCAAGTTATATTTCTCCTGTAGAGATTAGAATTTTCCAGGATCGATCACGTATTTAGTCCATATTCTGCCCCCCTACTAGCTTCCAGTAAAGGTGTAAAAGCTACGAATCTCGAAGTTCGTAAACGAGGAACGAGCTAGCTAGTATGTTCGTACCCTCTGTGAGGTTTTGAGCCCAATGATTTCAAAGTCGGTGGCGCCTGTGCTACATTGCTAACACAAGCGCTAATGTTTGGGCGAATTGTAAATTATATATATGCGTACATATCTGGCTGCTACCATATGAGCTGCAAACTGATCTCTTATTTAACTAATTTCAGCTTGTTCAAGAATATATCAACGACGCTTAAAGAAAATGTTCAGCCAGAGTCGAAGATATCTCAAAACGTGGATGATTTTTGGGCGGTTGAGCGTCAGAAGCGTACGTACTTACCTCACCACAGTTCCTTCAGCTGAAAATTGATTGGGAGTCGCATGTGGAGTTGTTCTGATTTCTGTCTGCCCTTTCAAACCTTAAAGAAGAGAGCCCATTGCTCGTTGTTCGTGTTAAAAGAGGACATCCTTCAAACTTCTCTCTAATAGGCCGCTCCTGGATATTGCTTCTTCTCCCTGTGAATTCGCTTAAGCAGGATTGTCTGCGGTCGCTCGACGGAAACTGACAGGTTCGAAAGACAGTACTGGAGAAATAAATCAACAACCCGTCACTCAACAACGACATGATAGGCATGCCCGATCTCGTCGCTATGGAGGCAAGAGGTACGATATCTCCCTTCTTGTTACTCCGTAAGCTTTGAATTAGTCTAGACAACGACATTGCGATGAAGAATCTGCCAACAATTTGCATCTCCTGTAGCCCAATAGCGAATAATTTCCCATCTCGTAATTGATTTCTAAATTCATCGTGATTCCCGTCTTCAACACAGGAAGCTTAATGCCAAGCCTAAGAAGTTGGATGTGTATATGGATGCGGAGTTCATAGCTGACTGGGATAAGGAGAGTCTAGAAGTGGAAGAAGAGCAACCTTGTACGATAGCATCTTCGGAGGCCTTTATGTCAGCTCAAGAAAGTGCGCTGCTAGCCAGTTTTCCCGCTGGAGAGTCGATGCACACTGAGGTCGAGGCAAATCCAGTAGGTGGAGAACCTGAAGTGGATGTGACACATCAGGAGAGACGGTCGCCCAGCAACCAAGCGAATTCATACAGTTCACAGGAGGATATGGACTTGTGTTCAGGAGGTTCTCCAGATAGTTTGATGCAGAATAATATCATGAACCCACAAGACTGCACCCCAAACCTCCAATCACTAGTCGAAATGGACTGGAATTCAGGTTTTTCTACCAGGGCTGCATCGGGCAACGTTTTTAGCTCACACGACTGTTTTGAAAGCCGATTGCAAGACTCTTCAGAACGACCGTTGGATGCTGAAAACAATACTTCTCTCGAAATCGATGCCCTTCCCGATAGGCTGCATGGAGTTTGTCAAGGGCCTGTACCCCAGGATTGTATCAGCTGCCTACCCATGTATTGTAATGTGGACAGGAATGCTTCTTGTGCAAACCATGACAATACGCCTCTCCATAAAGCCACGTTTCAGAGAACTCGTTCACCTCTGACATCTCCTACACCGCCTGCGAATCCGTTCGCTGCCTACATGTCTAGGAGAAAAGTGGGAGAATCTGGTCAGAGGAAACTAGCCTTTGCCAGCTCTCCGTCGAATTCCTCTCTTGATATTGGAGCAGACTTTCAGGTATGCTCTTGATGACTCATAAATATGTTGCAGTAAGAGCAATCTGATAGACGCCCCAGATATCAGAGCTTCATGTCGCTTGCTCACGTGATGAACTTATCTAAGTCTGTCGTTTCAGAATGAAGACATACCAGACCTTGGAGTTGACTGGGACAGTATTTCCTACAACGACGACCCCCTTGAAGCTGGCATTATGGAGCATTATCAGGTGTGGACGTGGTTCCGGCTGCAAACTTCAGAACTCGATATATATCTGTATTTCAAATTGCAATTCTGTTTTGACGATGAAGAATGAATCGTGGATGTTAAAACTTTCAGGTTGCGAACATACCAAGCCCTCAAAAGACGCCAGTGAAAAACTCATGTCCTGCCTTGACGCTTCCAAATGATGGATCAGAGACTGAGAAGGTATGTGAAAGAAACTCTCCAATACTCACAAACTTTCACTGCTTGATAAATCCAGGCTCGACATTTATATAGTTGTGTATGCTGTTGTGTGACATGACTCAAATCCGCAGCTACTGAGATTTTGGTTCACGGAATGCCCATAATGAAGAAAACGCGTGTAAGCACATGATATTATGTAAAAGTTAATACCGAATCTTCTGCATCAAAGACCTATAAAATTGGAGATTCAAATCAAGTTGCACCTTGTCAGGTTTTGCGAACGGAAATATACGACTATGATGTGGTTCAAAGTCAAGAGAGCTGTTCCATGCACGTGAGGACGTCCACCAATAAATCTCAAAGCCGACGCAATTCAGAAAGTGGCGTTCATGTAGAGTCTGTTCAAGGTAACCTCATTGTGCGTGTGATACGTTCTTTAAGTTTTAGTTTAGAAATTCGCTTTGTCTTGACTAGATAGCTGAGAAGTTGAATGAATTGTACATCGCAATCTAGGTGAAAGATGGGTCAGTCCAGGAGTCGATGGGCCCCGGACTTCAAGTCTTCAGAAGATGAAGTCGTCGCAAGAAGGGAAGGCCGGGCTTTCGAGCGTTTCAAAAGCACTTGTTTCCGAAGGTTGGTACGCTGAAGTTATTTTCAATGTATTTTCTTGTTCAAGTTATGGATTTTTATTCATGGTCACTTGGCAGTACATGTGAAGGGTTCAATGGTCCAGGAGTCAGCCTTCATGCCTGAAATTCTGTTCGCACGACTGCCAGGACCAAGTACGCAGAAATCACGGAGTTCCCAAGTGAGACAGTAGTTCTTATAACCAGGGTTAAGTTAGAGTGACAATTGTCGTTGCACTCGTCTTCGTTTCAGTTGGTTTAACATCGAGAACGCAAATGCAGATAAAGTTGAGGAAACTCCGAAAGTTGTCAAGCCTGATATTTGTGGTTCGACATCTGAAAAGACAACGCAAGCAGGGAAGACGACTCTTAGCGGTGCAAAAGTCATCATGTTTGAAGGTTGGTATACTAAACACACCATCTGCCGATCCAGAACTTGTTTCTTTCTGAATGATGTTGCAAAATTGACTCTACAGAATATCGCGGTAATGCAGGTCTAATCGACGAAGACACCCCGAAAGTTGACGAACCTCCACTTTCTCCTTGCAAATCTATCAAGACGCTGCAAGTAGAGAAGACGAGACTGTCAAGTGCTGCCAAAGCTCTTCGGTTTGAAGGTTGGAAATTTGGATCAATTGTCCTCTTTATGTCATGTTGCTTTTGCAAATTAATGTTATACTGAATAAGAAATAACATCATCATTTGACAATGCAGGTGAGGAAATTGACAGCCCAGGAGTTAGTGACCCCCCAGGTTATGCTTTCACATCCGTCAAGAATAAGCAAGGAGAGAAATCGGGACTTTCGAGCGCTGCCAAAGCTCTCAATTTTGAAGGTTAGCAGACTTGAAACTAGTAGAATTACCGTCGAATAAATTGGAATTTCGTTATCGATAGAAAGCCTGAGAAGAAAAACGCTAGTCGATAATAACCATTGTTCCTTCCTGGAAGTGCAGATGTTGCGGTGGAAGCCACCCATGATCCTGGATTGGCTTCAGTGCAATCTGAGGAGCCTCTGGAAGCAACGAATCCCGAGGCAAGCTTCTTTATCTCAAATCAGGTTACATCTGTCGGAATTGTGGTATAACTTTGTTCAGCTTATGTACTAAATGAACTCTGACGTCATTCAATTTCAGGCCCACTTGCAGGAGAACATCATCACAGAACTTTGCGCCAATCTGGAAATTCAGGAGGACAATACTACAACTGAGAGCTTACAACCGCAAGAACCTAAGCGAGGCGAAAAACCCAGAAGAACGAGGCGCCGTAAAGCTCAAGATAAACGGAGCAGTTTAGAAGGTCGGTGTAAAGCTTTAGTCGAAACCACTGCGCAGTTAACTCCTGATACTAGGTGCTAAACGATTAGGCCGATGGTACCGTACCTTCGTCGTTGAGATGCTCAGTCATATCTTGTCGACCATGTTTGTCGGATCGTTTTCCTGACATGTGTCTGGTCTCCCCGGAGGGTTTCCAGCATCGTTTCACTATGTCTCAGTCGACTCGCAACGAACATTTGGGCTCTATCATATCTCAACTACTGACTTGTCCACATGCAGGTGACGAGAATGGTTCCACCTGGACCCCGGATGGACACAGGAGAAGTCAAAGGATACGAGTGAGACCACTGGAGTGGTGGAGGGGAGAAAAGTTACTCTATGGACGTGTTATGGATTGTAAGTACATACTAAACCAATTTGTTAACGACCGACATATTTGCTGCTTTTGAAACAGGAATGAAGACTGCGAAACTAACTAGACATGTGAAATCGAGGACTAACCCAGTTTGCGGGAACGTGTGGATGCAGCCTTAACTACCGTTATTGGGATTAAGCACATTGAACCAGGACAAAATTTCCAGATCAAGTCTTTCGTGCCAGCGAAGTACAATGAACTTGTTCGCTTGGCGGCCATTTAGAATTCCCCGTGAACTTGTAATTAAACTTGTACTGCAACTTACGTACCAGCGGGTACGGATGTAAACTTTTAGCATTAGACGCATGTGGCATGCAGTTCTGTGGTGAATCCAATCCAGCCAGTGACATTGAAGTCGGACCCTAAGCGCTCTTCAGCAGGGGGCTGAATTGAAGCAATTGTAGTACTCAAGAGTCACAACAGTATGACGAATGTAGGTAGAATCAATAGTTCCTCGTGAGATGTCCATCAAGTTTTGAAACAGGATACCAAAAGTTACGTCCGATAATTTCTCAAAATCCAACCACATTCGAGCTCCAATAGATCATGTTTATGTTTCTTTGAAAATCTTAACTGATAATAAGCAAATCGCGTCTTTTCTTGCACTTGGAATTCTGCCTTGTGTATGTGCAAAATGAATTTCTACAATCTAGAGACATTATCCACTGGTCAAGAACGACCTCTTCTCGTGGAGATCACAAGTCAGTTTGCGGGAAATGACCGGCGCGAAAGGCGTAGATGTGCCCTGCAGTCTATCTTCGCCATTTCCCGTCATTGATACGGCTCAGTTTATCAGTCAGGTGTGGTCGGCGTGTGCAGACGATCTACTTGAAAGTCATATGCTTGGCACGAGCAACCTTGTGGATTCTCCAGTCACATCTTTTCTGAAAAGATAATCAGCAGCTGAAATGATGTGTCTAGCATACGTCCTCCTTAGGTCCGGACTCCGGACGCAAACTTATCCATTCCGAAGTCTTCTTGCGCATAAAGTCCACAGGATAACGAATTTAAATGATCTGAGAAGTTGGACGAGAGCGCCAGAATGGGCACCTCAGACAAAGTGCATTGAATCAACTTTAAATCGTCTTTAGAACCTGTCGTCAGAGCCACTAATCATACATTGAGTTCTGACTAAAAGGTCCATCCAGGTGATAAATCTGTCGGCTCCCAACCTGGAGAATCTGTGGACTAATTTATCTCCATGACAGTATCGGTTCTCATTTCACTTGTGAGACCGTCAGTGGCTCCTCTTGTGAAAGGCCTGCTTTGCCACCCTCCAAGGTCGAAGACGATCCAACTTCTGTCCCTCATCAATGATAATCGGCTGTCATCATCCTGAATCTCCCTCAACTTGGCGTGACCACTGCAGCTACGAACCTCCAAAAAAAAGACGCTGTACCAGCTCCATAACTCGGGCTTAGCTCCGACGGACTCGATTCATGACCTCGTAGGACGACCTTCCTTTCTTCCAGACTTCCGGAACAACGAGTTGATCTTGGGTCGTCAGAGAGGGAGGCAGCCGCCTCTTTGGGCACCTCCATCATTTTCAAAATTCATGAGGTCTTCAGAAAGGCTAGAGCGAAGTATCCCATGAACGAGAGCATGCTCGACACGGATTGGACCTTTCGCTCAGACGATTATGGAACCGAAGAGCAGAAGAAGTCGCAGGAATCATGCTCGATGGGATCATTGACCGGGTCAAAAAAAGTAACGAATGTACTATCGAGATATTTAAACAGTAACCATGTCGTGTGAGAGATCAACATCAGCAACACGATTCCGAATTCGTTAGAACAAAAGAAAGCGGATGGAAGTAGACGGTATCTGGAAGGTGGTACCAGACGCAAGAATCATAGAAATAAAGACGAGGGCTTCTTTTCACGCGTTGCTATTGGCAGGATTATCACGTGCCAATTTCCCCGAGTCTATCGACAGACGCGAGCCATCGAGACACCAGATGTTTTCCTTATCTCCATGTGTTCGAATGTAGCCGAGTTTCGTGACCGATCCCTCCAAGTCGCTTCCTTTCACTTTCCTCTTTCGCCCTCTTTAATGATCCTGACGCGCTGTGACCCCCAACTGAAGGCTTTCCTGCAACACCATCATCAGAACCTGAGGCGGCCAGCACATTTGCATGTTCACCAGTTCGTCACAGTCCGATCATCCCAATGTGAATGTTGGGCGTCGACGAAGGAGGACCTGAATAATTCATCATGCGTAAGAGTACTGTCAGCACATCATAGCTCCAAAAGCCTCCTTTATATAGAATCAGAGCATGTTTTCTGCACATAACTCCATCCTGGGTGACGGCATCATTCTCGAGTACTTCCATATCATGCACTTCTAGACGGTTTGCAATTAGCACATAACCGCAAGTGCAGCAACATGTACAGAGTGCATTTGTAGAAGATTTGGAACCCTAAACCTTCTCTGCTCCTGGTACGAGCTCTACAATAACTTGATGCACTTCATTATCCATCCAGTTTCATCATTCTCAGGCCTCTTTGTCTCCCATCAAAGCTTCGATTTAGAATCATTACCTGATTACTTCATTATCGTAAACTTGGACTTCTCATATAAATATGTATATTTTGCATGGTCCGAATATTATTATTTCATGACAGAAAGCTGGAATTTGTATCAAGCAGCATAGAACTATTGAGTTTCTGCAGAAAAGTCTTCAAGAACTTAGCATTTGATGTCATAGGGGCAATTTGGATAATCATGGGTTACAACCACAAGTGGTGGTAACAGAAAGCAATGTTTGACCTCTATATATCTCCAACTATATACACAACTAAATACCTCTGTGTACAATTTATCTTGTAAGCAAGTTACATCGTTTTAACCACAATATACATCGCGTTGAACTATGTTTTGGACCAAAGAGAAAACACGACACCTTCAACTGGCTTTGCCGAGAGAGAAAGAATCACTAAATCAAATAAGCAAGAAACCTAGGTTCTTTATTGATGTGGATATTTCACTTCGTTGCAACCGCTGCAAATCCAAAGAGATCAAAAGATGAACAAAACTATTTGTTTCGGTACACATTATCTGGTGTGTGTATGACTCTTCTTGCGAAATGTAAGCTCTTCTTACATTTCGCAAGATTTTACCCCTATGTACGACAAAAACATGTCGCGTGAGGTGAAGCCTGTTGCATGTATAACACTATCTCAATTTTCAGAGTTCTCACAACATGAAGTTTATTGTTACAAGTATGATATATAATTCCCAACATAATGTACCAATATGAATTCCAATGTAATCAAAAGCTATAAGAGTATCTAATTCAGATCATCGATTTTTACTTCCTCATGTTATAATACTCACATGCATACACATCAGAGTGTTATTAGTTAACTCAGGTATGACTAAGATTAATGTTACTCTAGTTAGACTAGAGTTAATATGTCACCACAGATGAAAGTTGGTTCTATCTCTCTGTGACACAAACTTAGGTTTTTTATTCAAGTACTTGTGTTTCCTTTGATGTAGCCTCAACGAGATGGATCACGTTTTTTCTCTGCTTCGATAATTTGTATTTTCTTCGAATCTCTAACAATTGATTTCAAAGCAAAATTGGTACAAAATCACCTTCCGATCCAGGACCAAACTAAATTCAACCTCGTTCAAGAAATTGGAAAGTGAATTAAATTCCATGTATGTGATCAGCCATCAGAACTGCAAAAAAAGCCCATCATTGCACTGATCTCCAAGATCACCGCACCATTTTCAACAAGGAGATTTTTTACCCTGTCCAATCCGTATTCAATTTTTCCAAAAATCCAAGAAGTTATCAAGAGTGCCAACATGATAGAGTACGGATTGATCACATGATTTTTCTCCAAAAGTACCACCACAATTAACACTCTCCTTCGGGAGTTTAGACCCACAACAGTGACAAATCATCTTCAACAAAGTAATAATCAACCTCGTTTAGTTTGTCATCAAGTGCTTCAACATCCAAAAGGTCATCTAGAGCGCCAACAGGACTTAATACAAATTGGCCGCATGAGTTTCTCCAAGAATATGAAGAAAATTAACACTCTCTTAGCTAACAGCCTCAACGTTTTATATAAACCCGAAGTATCAAACCTCGTAAGATTATGTAGAAACTTCATGTTTATTGAATAAAGTCATCATAATAGACAAAGAATCACTTAAAATTAAATTTTACATGCTTTTTAACTAACAATTTACAACAAATTATGATAATATCATTTTCACCATACTTTTCAATCATAATAACATAAAATATGATTCAAGAATAAGCATACAAAATAACAAGTATAATAATGTATTTGAATCTAAAAGTAGATCATGTTTTATAAGTAATTTTTTAACATAAAGGCGATATTATATAAGAATTGTGGCAAGAGTCGTACCTTTATAAAAAAATATCGTATCAAAGTCAATATGCCAATTCTACTTGTACCAATGTGATTCAAAATTTTGATATCAAAAATAATTAATTGGTTAACCATGGATTGTACTGAGATGATTATGCTCTATATAATTTATCAAAGAACAAGTATGATGAATGGGGTAAAATCCTTACATCATATTTTCATATTTGTTACATTATGTTCATGTACTACTTTTGCAATATCAATCAGTACGATATTTATATAGAATAATTGACCTTGGAGTTATTAAAGATATTGGATTTGTTAAAGTTCAAACGTTTAATATAAAAAAAATTAGATAACTCATTTTTTATATAAGTTTAATATCAATAAAAATCTAACATTCTTGAAATCTAGATTCAAAGTTTTTCAAGTAAAGATTGAAAAAAAAGTACCTTTGAATAAAAAAATATCATATAATAATTTTGAGAGTACACAAGTATAGAAACAATATATATTATATTTAAGGTCACTTTCAATCTATTCAGCTAATTGCAAGGTTTGATGAGTTTATGAGAGCACAAAAACTTCCATAGAGTATGTTTGATCCATGTAAATACATGAAAAGATAACAAATAAAAAAAATTCATTAGTCTGATTTTTTTGGGGATGACATGTATAATTTGCCAAAACAAGTCAATCTAACTTGAACAGAAGCAAAAATAACCACAGTTAGTATTTAAGATTAGATTAAAATTATGAATAGATGTTCATATGAATTTAAAATAACAAAACTATGGTTTTAGAAAAAATTAGCAACTTAATCAACATTAATTAAAAAAATTAAACTAAATTTTAAAAAAATTACAATCAACATGTGCTTGAAAAGTTTATCATGATGGATTTTAGAACAATCTGAACTACTTTAGTAACAAATTTTAAGTTTCTTGCAATATAATGTCCAATCAATGTTATTGAAAGATTATGGATTTCATCACATTCACATGTCAAGGCAATGATTATATAGTTGATGGTATGCATTAGATCTACTATACTCTTGCTTTAGTTAGTATGCATTCTCCTAGATCTTGGCTTTCCATCTTGCATATGAGATTTGTTCTCACCTTGGCTTAATTCACTTGAATGCATCTTTGATATTCCCTTCTAGTTTACAATTATCTTATATATATCAAGAATCCATATAACTTGTATCCCATACAGTGGTAGAGTATAACTGTCCATTGAACATAATCTTTGCTTTGGCAGTTTGTGAGCATTTGATATCTTGCAAATCAAGGCCGTAGTCAAGGTAGTTTACTTGGATCACCAAGTTCATATACCTATTGAGAAAGTTGTGCTTAGATATAGTACTCATGACATTGCTTCATATGAGGATTATCATCTATCCCCAGACTAACCATAGCTAGAGTAAATGTGTGTGGTGATACATCACATTTGTAATCCTCTTCTTTTGAGGTCATATGAAATTATACAAGTAATTTCATTTTACAAATTTATGAAAAAATGCATTTATTTCTACCATATTACAACATGAGGAGATTGCTCCATATTGTAAAATATTTGTTAGTCAACATACATCCATAGGTGTAAAAGAGCACTGTTAAGTGAGTGTTGCTAAACACTTTTTAACACATTCCAGTTATACTACACGCTCTACTCTATATTCACATAATGATGATATTGGGCTGTTTGACGTAGTTAGCAAGGATGTACTATGTGCTCTATTCCATATTCACATTGTCATGCTGTTGGACCCTACCCCATCTACCCGATTGGTTTTATCTATATATCATTGACGGAATATTCATATACTTTTGATACAAGGCAAATCTTGAAGAGCTTGGAGTAACACCGATAAACGTCTAGACTTCAAGCTTTCCATCACTATTAATGACCCCTTTGCAAGCTTCACCCTTTGACTCCTTGATAAGGTAACAGAATAAGTATACACTTTCGTTGGTGTTTGTCAAGATTTCAATAGTTGCTCGCGGTGCACCAGTTTGATTTGCTATAGAGACATTCTCATAGTTCTGACTTAAAAGAGGATTGTAACATGGCTAGAATCATCGCTAAATTTGGTGAAGGCTGTCCAAACCTCCGATTCTGTGTATTGCACCACCAAGTACAGCCACAAGTATTACTGCTTTCTTCGACGGCTGAAACAATCGAATCAAAACCATTCCAATTCGGCTATTTAACACCAAAGTGCTAGCGAGCTGAGTCATTAATCATATAAAAAAAATGTGTTCTTTACAACCAGCTTTATCTTATTACGCAACATTAGATCCTCCCCGCCTATCCTGAAACACCCTATCGCTCATTTCGGCAACATACACGGAAACTAGATGACAGCGAAGACTTTTTCGGTATTATTATCGGAACGGGGCATTAAGTTCTCCCAATTGCTGGACCTTTCATCACAACTACGTAGCTCAGGGAATCACAGGGTCCAAGGAGGACAGGGCAGGGCAGGGCAGGGAAGGGGGAGACAAGGTACCCTGATAATTACATAACCCACGCCCGCTTTCCCACACCCTTTCACGATGAAATTATTTTTCCTCGCAGCCGACCGTCACAGAAGGAACGCCCAGCGGGGAGAAAGGAGTGCGTAAGACCCGCCCGCATGAGGGAGCCATCGCCAATCCTACACAAGGAGAATATGTAAGTGTACTTTGTCTTACCAGCTCGATCTTTGAGCCGCCTCGACTTAAACATAGGAAGTCTTACACTCAGAAGGATTTTAATGTTTCGGAGGACAGTCCTAAGGGACAGACTCCGAACAACATTAACTCAATGATCAGAATCTAACCTCGATCTTTCTCTTGAGGAGGAGATTAACTGTTCCAGGGACAATCCTACGGACACACTCCCAACTGGCTCGAGTTATCGCCCCATGGCCCTGTGGCATGTTCCTTCCGAAGGACAGGAAAGGTTGCCGTGCGGATCGCCGGTTACTCGTCTGGGAGAATTCGCCGACCCTTCAGGTCAGCCCGTCCGGTACAGGAACGAGGGAAGAATGGTACTTCTCTCGTCTGGGACCCAACTTTTGGAGAATCTTTGACAACCATGGGGAACCCCTTCCGCAAAGGACGGTCATGGAGAAGACGGACGGCCGGACGGACGGACGGACAGACGAACAGCTGCCTTACGACAAAATGGTCATGTGAGAGCACGAAAAGGGTGCGGCAAACCGCACCTCCGCATCTTTATGGCGGGGGCTCGGATTGGCTATGGTGGACTCGAATCCGTCTCGCGAAGCCAAGTGGAAAAGCGTTCGCGAGACGGAGGTGCAGCAGGCATCTGCAACATTTAAGAGATCATGGTCCGCTTCGACTTCGCCTCGCAGGAAGAAAATCTGTGAGCAGTATGTCCGTATCGATGCCAATCTTGCCGCATCGCATCGCAAATGCGGGTGGCGAACTGCGTCCTCACGGGCATTCGGCCATGCAGTTTAGAGAGAGAGAGAGGCACGGGAGATATAATGCACTGATGTGTCCCACGAGCCTCGTGAGAGGTGGCTCCAAGCGTTGTCCTCCGAATTACCACAGATCCAGGTCAACGACGGTATGATGGCAGGGCAAACTGTATGCATGAGCTGTTTTTCATGACTTGCTTCACGTCGTTTGCTCTCTGTCCACCCCCCGCGGCCCAACGTTCACAAATCGTATCATCTTCATCTTCTTCTCCTTCTTCTCTTCCTCTTCTTCTTCTTGACCGGCTGCGTTCTTCACTCGGACCAGCTGGCAGCCCGAGTCCGGTACATTCCATCCATCTTTCGAAAAATGAAATTTAAATGAGATTTCATGCATGAACGGTGAAATCTTCTCCGAACTAAGCCGAACGCCCCTGCTGAACCTTTCGAATCTCCTCGGCAAGTGGCTTCAGATAGCACCTCTTGCTGCTCAGCCGGGGAGCAGCAAAGTGTGCTCGACTTCTGATACTTTCGGGATGACATTTTGTGAGATTCTTTCTCCCGGTCACATGACGAGACATTCAAATGAAACTTGCACTCCTCGACTCTCTCTCTCGCTTGGTCTTTCGGTGCCCGTCTTTCCGCAGTTTTTCATTGCAGGTGGCGGATCTTCTCCCCCCACGAATGGCAGGAGGCGATTCTTGACTCGTAGCCGGCCCAGCTCTTCTAAACGAACATGCCTTTTGCATCTTTCTTTGTGCGACTTTTCGATGTCGAATTTGTTTGCTTTGTTTAGCATTTAGCTTTACCGACTACAGTTGAGTCCCAATTAGGTTCCTTCTTTAAAAAACTTATTCTGTTTCCTATAGTGAGACACTACAAGAGACGACCTACACTCTGCATCATTCGTGTATATCTTTCTGATAAGCTTTCCTTGCTTTATTATATTTCTGAACGGAAAGTCAAGATTGTGTAATAATAACTTGAGCCAACAGTCTCATGTGAAGCTGGGTTTGTTGACGGAAAGTGAAGTGGTTTTAATTTGAAGCCATGATTCCTGAAGTTTGCTCTTTTCCACGGGAAATCCTTACATGTTGTTTAAAGAAAGGTAATGAGACTGCAGAGAGGCACACGATCAAGTATGCACTCAGCCCGCCATTTCTGCAAGTTTTGGAGTCTGCACAACATGGAACGGATTGTAATTTTTCTCATACATTTTGAATGCAGACAAGCACAAGACAAATTTCGGAATCTCTTTGGAAGAAATTCAGCCGATAGGTATCAAACTACTTGAATCGGTTCTGTACCGCACTTCTTATCCACAAGTAGTTACAGATGGTGGGGAGAAAATCTAGATATGCTCGACGATCATGTTCGAAGAGATTTCACTCATCAAGGCAAGACCAACTTCAAGCGTTTTTTATGATTGTCACGTAAGAACCATTCACCAGAATTGATACTCCAGAATTTCACGGACATTTTGATGTCAAACCCATTAATAAGTATCGGAATATTTTGATTGGTGATGCTAGATTTGATGGATCTGAATGATGGATGACATCAGATCCGGTTTGATTCTACAAATCGTGTGATAAGAACAAATCGCTCGTCGCTCTTGCTTTTGTCTATTCATGGAGGATTTTTCTCGAGTGTTGCTGTGTCCATAATTTCAAAGCACAACCACAATCATCAAACGATCTATAAACTAGACATATCCACTGCGTCTCTGAGGTTTCCCTTCTTCCGCCTCGTATTCCACGACGAATCACTCTATTTGCTTCATATTTTTCCCTCATGCAACACTTAGATCAGGACATGAATGACTGAATATCTGTATGTGTTTTGACACATGCTCTAGGTTCCTTCATTCCTTACTACTGCATCGACTTTGTTCTCTACGATCTTTCAGACAGAAGAGGATGCTGCTTAGCTAGGCTGGTATTCAATCGTCTTCAACAAAGTTTATCTTGCTTTGTTACCTGAGGAGCCAAATTTTCTAGTTTCCTTCCATTTTCTTTCAATTGAATATAAGTTCTCAGTCGAGGCATTTATGCTCACATCTTATCTGTATATCTTCAACGTTAGGTGGGGCTGATTGTGAAGGTGTGTCGACGTTGTCAGAAGGGATTGGAGTTCCTATGAAACCTGATAGATTCTACAGTAGCAGGTAAACATGCTGCCAGACTTTTTGTTGAGAGCCATCTACGGTGTAGGAACCTTTTGCAGTGAATATTTTGCAGAGTTGACATGTAATATACTTCAGAAGTACATACATGATATCCTTGAAACCTGCATTCTTGGGAAAGTTTACGTGTTATCATGCACACACACATTTCAGTGAAAAAGTCAACCTTGGGTCGACATGTTGTGAAGTGCGAGCCTAGATGAGGTCTGCAGAAAAGGTGGAACCTTTAATGTTGAAAAGCACGAATGTGAGTCAAAAGCTCAAGTTTCGAAGCCTCCTGCCTGGATCAACCAGATCCATACATCTCTCTCCCTGGTTGATGCAGGGAGGAAGATGCAATCCTTATGGAAGTCTTTTTGAAGAATCGTGATGAGAATGAAGTCTCTGCAAATTGCTTCAGATTTTCATAGACTGTCGGAGCGATGAATGTTTGGACATTACAGCAAGTCACCAAAAGTAAATGCCAGCTGTGGATACTTTCCTTCGTTCATGTGTCTCGAGTGGCACAAGCTCCCTAATCCCAGTTCGTGTTCCCTTTCTTGAACGAAACCCAACTGCGCTAAAAGGACATCCAGATTCTTTTAAGTTGAGTTTCTTCATCTAACATCCTCAAGAATGAAAAGGATTCAGTCCTTTGACTAGACTGCAGGGTCTGGAGTTACAGTCTAAGTTCCAGTCATTCATTGGGCGGATCATCAGAAAGTCTTGTGAGCTCATGGTCGAGGAGGAGATAGTTCAACGTACTGTATTGCTTTCTATAACGTGATGAGAACCATAATACTCTCATGATTGAGCTAGACTTCTGGTGTATGTTAGGTGGTGAATCTCATAGGTCGCTACTAAGTCGACAATTATCACAATCATCATCGTATGTGTACGTACGTACGATCCCTGGTGACATTTCGTACTCCCCTCTGTACAATAGTTGAGTAATGGGGGCACACCATTGATTCTCTCGAATGACATGTGTTCCCTTCGGACCCAAACTCACTTCATCCAGTTCCACTGACAAAACACATAGTCTACCTTCTAAGAGGAAATCTGATCGTTCAGGAGCAAAAGAGTACTTGATGGTGGATCAAGAGTCGAATTGATGAGAATCCTGCGATTACTTGAATGCTTGTAACAGCAAAATTCTTCCTCGGCCAGCCTCGTTCAAAAATAGCATCCTCCGAAAGAGTTTGCAGGCTCTACCTACAGTACTCAACCATTCTAGCGCATGAGAACCTACAAAAGTCTGGAACACATTTTCTTGCGTCAATGAAGTGTGAGACAATCTCTCGATTCAAATTTCTTAGAACAAAGTATTTGTTCGTTGCATGTGGTGGAAGTTCCAAAAACGACGGTTATTTTAGGGAGGCGTGAAATGGCGTGGCGTGAAGTGAAGTGCATCATTGTGAGATGTGTGCGCACTATCAACGGAACTGTTCACGGATCTCCCGTTATAAATCAAATGTTAGCGAAAGAGTGCAGATACTCAGGCGTCACACACTTTTTAAAGATACTTGAACGAGAGTAACTCACAAAGATAACATGATATGCAAAGCCCCAGTTCCATAGCCAGAGCTCCAACTTCAAGCCTACTCACTCACAAGTTGAACAACCAGATAGGGTCTATGGAGAGTTGGACAAGTTTATTGAAGCATAAGGATTGTATAGCTTGATTTGGTTTCCAGCCAAACAATTTGATAGCACCGTCGAATGCTTTTGTGGCCAATTACACAAACATGTTCCTAAGCCGTTTGCAAAAAATGCGCTCGCTCGTTTGTCCTTCCACGTTCTTGCCGATCGTGAAGGGAACAGGTAGTCAAAGTTTTGAACTTGGCCCATTCAAAGACGGTGGATAAGAATGGAGCCAATCGGAAATCAAATTGGGTGATAAGCAACCACTCAAGTATCAATATTACTTCTCAAAATATTTCTCCAACAGTTATATTCAATATCTAGCCTGATTGCTACTCATTATTGCAATCGATTTTTAATTTATATATGGTCTGACCGCGGGACCTAAGCTGAATGCACTTAATCAAGGTAATTTTGAGAAATTTAGGTCATATCTAACTTGCATAGATACAAAACCACATTTTGCAATATGAGACTTCAAATTTGTTTTATCAACATTTCATTTTCATGATGTTTTTATTCTTGAAGAATTAAATTCTACTCACAGCCGTTTATGGTTATTCATTACTCAGTGTCTTTTATATATGTATAATAGCTTATCTACATGTTTGAAGCCACTTTTCGTGTCTGTCCAAGTTTAGGTGTCCACTTTAGACTCTTAAAGTCCAAATTTCATTCTACTGAAACATGTAAACTAGAACTAATTTTATCATTCATGCTTCTTCAGAAAGCACAACATCATAAAATACTTGTTCGTGAATACCTTATCATATTCTTTTAGAACATTCATTTTAAGACACAGAATTTTTGTAAAAATTAGTAATGCTATAACTCAACTCTTTGACGAAATATATGGAAATAACAAAGAAAATGACTTGAAAGATATTTTTTTTTAAACTTAATCATAATTTTGTATTTAGGTATTATTTTTAGTAATTTTGTAAAGAAATATATATCAACCATTTTAAGATGCTCAATCTGAATGAATAAATTTTGAATTATCAAACGAAAAGTTGCATACACATAGTTTGATATTCTTACAATATACTTAAAACAAATTAAAATTTGAAGATGATAGCTTGCATTGTTTTTAAAATTATTTGATTGTTAAAATATATCTAGATAAAGTGTTTCTACACTGTAAATTTTTTCAAATATATATTTACGATTGATTGTAGAATGTAGAAACAAGAAATTCAAAAATTATCATGATCATATTTATAGTTATAAACTTATTATGATATTTTTTCTCCCGATTATAGAAAAAATATCAAAATAAAGCATTTGTTGAGTTAAAGATTTACATTCTAAATTGATAACAAATCAAGTTAGATTTTCAATATCTAAAAATTTTAGATCTCATATATAATTGCATACATAGTAATGCATTTTTTATACCTATTTGAATACACATTGAAAAGCTGAGAACTATGTATATATTTCAAATCGCCAAAGTATATCTTTTTTATTCACTCAATAAACTCCTTAAAATATAGATCAGAAATATTCAAATACGTATAAAAATAATTGAATTTTCGAGAAATTAGTTCAATTTACATTAATAAAACATGTAAGTTTCTATAAATTCATGTTAAGAAGAATCTATGATAATATTGCTTTCGGAAAGTTATATCTAAGTGTTTCAAATCTTTAATTTTTTTAATGATTCAAATATTGGATATCAATATTTTATAAATATAATTTTTAATTTTTAATAACAATATGAGTGATTCATGTTATTGAATAAAATGGATTCGAAAGATCTATATGTTGTGAAAAGTAAATACTTGTAAGAAAAAAAATTTGAATTTTTAATCAAAGATACAATTAGGATTTATATATCAATTTTTATATCAATTCATATTATTTATAAATTAATTATAAAATAAATAATAAATAATCCATTTTTACTGAATAATATCCTTAAAAAATAAAATCATAAATATTATCTATTTATATATTATAAATTCAATTCAAATTTCTTGTAATTTAAAATATTACGGATCTAATATTAAACAGTTATTACATCATATATTATCTAAATAATCGAAACATATTGTTCTCCTCATAAAAATCTATAAGATCTTAGAAGATAAAGAATTTATGAAAGAAAGGAAGAAAGGAAGTTATAAATATTTTTACGCATATATATTAATCTGATAGTTTTATTTTTTGTTTGATACTTGTATGTGATGGAGGTTTTAATTTATGAAGCTTTTTGATATTATTACTATTATCTTAAATATATTAAATTTTAGATAAGTTTGAAACTTAATGCTAATCAATAGTTAATGAATGATCTTTCAAGAATTTATTTTTTTTCAAGAAATTCATGTAAATCTTTAATCTATCCTTGTGATTAATTTGTAATTTGATAATTAACAATTTTCTGTGTCATGCTAAGATATTAAAATGCAAGAGTTTTGAAAAGTTCACGTTTGTTTCTTCCAAAAAAATTTACTTATCTCATTTCAATATTTAAAATTTTAATGTTATAAAAACCCACAGCTTTCTTATTTTTAATTTTACAAGAGGATATTCAGGTTCATAGCTAGTGTTAAACTCATGATTAGATTCAAGCTGATCATAAACGAAATCTGAAAATGATTTAATATACACCTCATTACTATTTCAAGAAAATCTGAGAATTGTTGTAAATATATATTCATCATACTTGTGAAAAATATCTTGTGAAAATTCATCGAATACAAATATCTACCCATTTTAAAATAGTCTTGAAAAAGTTTAAGAAAGTTACTACGAATAATTTGAAATAATAGATATTATATTGAAAAGTTGATTCAAACTGGGTTTGCTCAAAGTTCACTTTATTATATAGTGCAATGCTGTATTTAGGGTAAATGATTCGTGTCTATTTTTATGATATTCGTACATGAGGAATCGTCCGCATACTGAACTGGGCCTGCATACATCCATCACGATGCGTATGGGCATGCATGGGGAGCTCGGTAACATGATGAGATAAACATCCCGTTCAATCAGTGGAGAGGTGACTGGTCACAGCAAGTCGCACCTAATCACGATTAGTATAAGCATGCATGAGGGGATTACTGGGATCAGGGGGTAGTTATTCAAATCACATGCTGCGACGATCGATAGGACTTCCTGCAATGATGGTGCTTTGCGATCGACGACGATTCGCGAGCACTGCACAGGTCTTTTCAAATGATGGTGTACAATTAACTCACCAGGCTCCCTACCTGACCCTGATTAGCCTCACTTACGAGCTCCCAGCAGCACAGTCGATCCCGGATTAGAACACCTCTGACCATCAATTACTGATTCAGTTCAGCATGCCTGACAGCTGAATGTAAAGCTCGATCCCGTTGATTAATCAGCCTCACACAGCAAACCAGATCTAATTCGAGATTAGCGCCTCGAGTTTTTTCACTTCAATTTTTTAATCGAATAGAAGGTAGTGTTCAGTATTTTTGTAAGTAGAGAGGAACTTTCGTATTTGATTCTGATATCATTCTCTAAAATATCGGTCAAAGTATATTAATGTGCTATATTGCTCTACCTATCAAATTGATGGGAGGAAAAAGTCAAATACCACATGGACGACTTGGCGAGATCAACAAGTCCTATAGCTCAGAAAGTCATCTATAATTAGAAAATTCCACTAAAAGAAATAAATTGCACGTCATGAATTTGACTTGAAGAAATACGTGTATACTATTATATTTTTCCAATTGAGTGCTCATATAGTTTATGCAAATTTTGTGTTTGAGTTTCCATAAGAAATACTCTTTGGTAGATTTGACAAAAAGAGAGAGAATATTGAAAAAAATGGGCAAATCTAGGTTGGTATTAAATATGGGAACTGGCAAGTTGAGAGTCAGAGACGGAGGTGAATTCCACAGTGCTGGGACATAGTACACAATGAAGCTTTTCGACTTGGCATGATTGTGCAACGGAAAAATCCCGAAATACATATTTTCAGTAGGTCACAACATTAGTGTATGTGGATAATTCAGATCAATAATGCAACCAGATTGATGAGTGTCTGAGTAGCTGCTAACTACAGTCGGTTTTCTGTTGGTTACTATGACACAATATGCCAATTATTGTCCACAAATCTTGTCATGACCATGCATCACTACAGAACCAGCATGCTTCCATGCTGATATGTATAAAAAGGATAGAAAAATGGACTCGATGAGAATTACGCATTGAGAGGAGAATGCTCTCATCGTTCCAAATTACAAAATTACACAAAAATTATATATCTCTTAGCGAGCGAATTAATTTGTTCTATCTTTCCCAACTTTGCTTGTGCTCCAACTGTCTGGGACAATTCGTCGAAGACTTATTCAACATAGCTGGGCTCAGTTGCATGACACTGGAGTGGAGTCCAATCGAATAGAGATACAGATGATAGACGAATAGAATAGCTCACACAGCACAACAAATGTCTGGATTTTGGAAGCAAATGGTGTAAGTCATTCATAAGTTCACGTATCCTTGTTGCAAATTTAGAGTGCAGGTACATACACCACAGCGAGGACCTGAACGCTCTTTGAGACTTGAGTCTGCGTATGTCTCTCGAGTCATGGTCAAACGGTGATGCAAAGCTTCGGCTGACTCCAGCGAAACGGACCATTTGCTCTCAAGCAACTGGTGTAACGGTGAGAAGGTTCCAGATTTAATTCGTCAGCTTCCTTTTGGTTCAGGCCATACGCGGAATCAGATCTTGTACATATTCCTTCAGCCCATCAATCTTTTCTTTCCGTGTTTAGTGCACCTCTTTATTGCTTAATATTTCCTTCAACTCCCGACAAAGCTCTCGTTAAATTCTTTCTGCATTCTTTCACAATGAGATTGATACAAGTTTGCCTCATTGCACTGGAAGGATGCACATTACATGCATTAGATATCTTCCTTACGTAACAATCAGTGGTGTTATAAGAAAAGGAAAAACATGACTATTGTATTATCGGTAAAGAACTTCCTAGTCCTTATAATCCATTGAGACTAGATCATTTCTTAAGGGTAATTATAACTAAGTTTCTTGAGAATGAAATTGTAGAGAAGACACAAAGAATCAAGCACAACGAAACGCCATATATGTAAGTGTGCACAGATGTAATTCTTACTCACTCAAGGGGCAGAATTCACGTGTGGAGGAATATTTGTCCAAACTTTTGGCTGGGGCCCAATAGATGGAGTCTCGTCCTCATCCTCATTCTCAAAAATTCCATTCATCGATCCACATGCTAGTTACGACTGTAGGCCTTTCATTTTGAGCATGTTCATGAAGGGAATCGTTCTTCGTACTGTAATAAGAATGACCTGACACAACACTGTGGGAAGAAATTCTCGAAGCTTACATCAGGGTGTAGATGTTCCCTTTCCAAGTATTCGAGCTAAACTAACAAATCACACCATAAGATAAACATAAGAACACTGGACATACATGTCACTAGAGGCCGTCTAGAGCAGACAAGGGCAAATCCGAAAAAAATAATATTAAAGGCCAAAGGAAAGCAAATGAGCTAGAAAACTAATTTGGGCCCCTTTTAAAAACCCTTGGAGGGCCACTCAACAGAGTCCCCAAATCAGCAATTGTCAGTAGATATAACACTTCAAAGCCGTCGTTCATGGAACTGTTGTTTGATCCTTTCGAGAAACAGATTTATGGAGCCACTGGGTACGAGATAATACACACAAGTACAACGCTAACCTTGCCAAATGCTGCAGTGGAAAAACATATTATATATGCTTCTTTCTCCTCACGCTTTCAACCGCGGGTTCTGATAACCAGTTTATGGAGCCAATGATGGATGGTAATAATGGTTTGTTTGTTTCTTGCTTGCTTAGTGCGAGTGAGTGACCGTAAGAAACAGGAAATAATGTATCGAGACCTTTATCGTATGATGCAGCAATCATTGTCGTGTGCAGTCAGTATACCTGCGAACGACACAACAAAGAGAGAAGTTGTTGTGCTTGTGCACTCTACAGGACGATGGAGTCCGAACTACAGTCCACAACAGAAGTATTATGGTGTATGGTTGTAATATCTACTGGATCAAACATGGCCAAAAAGATCATTCATGTCTTGCCCAGGCTAACATTCCTCTTGGGCTCGAAATTGGGCAACAAGATAACCTGGACTTACACGTGCATATATTGTACACCTGTTCGACTCTGTAGACATGCCATTTACTCCATGATCATGTATTGAGGCAGTGTATTGAGAATATCATGTTGGTGGGAAATGATGTGCTTCTTCAAGTTTAGAATGAGGGGGAGGGTTTCTTAACTGGCAGTTATTCTCATGACTAAACATACAGCTCACAAAATTGAAGGCAAGAAGAAGTAGAAGGGCGAGAATATAAGAAGATCAGAGGGGGCGAAAAATTATACCATCGCTGACATTAACTAGTATTTCCCGACCGATTAAAAAAAAAGGCAGACCTCTCCAGGTGTGGCCAGGGCAGGGCAGGGCAGGGAAGGCGGCCAGGAAACAGAAGAAGAAATTTCTCCTCGGCAGAGGATCATTTGGACATTTCCATCAGGGGGAAGGAAAACTCGCCGCACTTTCTTTTCCACCGTTCGGTCGTCGCCCGGGGCGTCTAGAAGGAAACCGAAGGTCCGAGTGGGGCCGGCCCATTGGCGCATAGCCCCCGTTCTCCGGCCTCCGGTGACTTTGCTTGCCAGTGCCCCTCACCCCACCCCCCACCGGGGGCAGAAGCCCAGACCTCCGGTGAGGATGAGAACCGGAGCTAGCCGGTCGTGGGGTACGAGGAGTGGGGGTTGCGCGGGGGTGGGGGGGCCCGGCCGGCCGAAGCGGGGCAGCCGCGCCGGCAAGCGTGGGGGAGCGGGGTGTTAGGCGGGAGCCAGTCGCGAAGAATACCGACGCTCGGACCCCGACACGTCATTTATTGCGGACGGATCTGGGGCTGCCGGAGGGGAAGCGAAATACGAACATGTGAAGCCCCAGTTGGGCGTCTCGTCGTCGTCGTCGTCGCAAGACGCCGCCTTCCCCTTCCCCTTCCGCGGGGCCTGGCTTTGACCGAGCACGCCAGGTCCAGCTCGGGGGGTGGGCTCAGCAGTTCCAACCCCATCCCGCATCCCCCACCCGAACCCCAACCCCATCCCCTTCGCTTCATACCATCGCAATCTGCCCCATCACATCCCATCACATCACATCACATCAGATCCCGGCAGTCCGGAACCGTTGCTGATCCGGGTCCAGTCGCCGGTCCCCTATCCCCGCTCAGTCCACAGTCAAGGATACAGTAGGTACAGTACCTGCTTCCAACTACGTAACTATATATAAAGATCGCGACTCGCCCGTCGCGGGATAAGGAAAGCGACAGCGACAGAAATCTGGAGCCGATCGAGCGAGCGATTCAAGGTTCTGCCGGAGAGCGGGCTCCATTGTCGCTTCGGAAAAGGGCACGCCACGGGCCGGGACGGGGAGGGCGTCAGCCGCGTCTGCTGCTAAGCTCCGAGCTCGCATTTATTCTAGGCCCGGAATGGCATCTGCCAAAACATATTGTGCTCTTGCCTTGGAAGCCTGGATGGGTCCAGATCCCATATTCTCCACTCCCCACGGTCCCATTTCCAATCCTTTATTCTCTTATCTTTTAGCTCGCAGATGCATTTTAGCTGGTGGCTTGCTTTCGATACCAGAGTGGGGGTAGAGCTAGTTTGGCCGGGGCTTACCGAGCTTCCCCCATGTACTCGACTCTGGCTCCGTTTTCGTCGAGGGCTAAACTTTGCACCGGGAAAAAGTACGAGGACGTGAGCTTGTTGCCGTGCGGGGAAGAGACTCCGGGGGAAGGGAGCTAAGCGTCATCACTCCCCTCCGTCTCTAGCTTAGCCCCCACTCTTCCACCTGTAAAGGCGGGGGCTAATAAGTTTAGTCTGAATTGCAGATTGTCCTCTTGCAGGGCGGACCATTGACTCCCCGAGTGTTCTAAAGACCGCCAAACGGGAGATCCCGGCTTCGAACGATGGGGAACAGCGAGAGTGGGAGGGGGGCAAGGAATCAGAACACAAGTGGTGATCTTTGTCATATCCATCGGTAAGCCCCAGTTAGATGCAGTAGCTTCTTGACTCTCTTCCCCCCCTAAGAATCGCCCTCAGTTAAAGCCCCGTCACCCTCCCTCCCTCCCAGCTTGTCCCCTTTCCCTCGATCTGCTCTCCCGAGAAGTGTTGCCCCTGTTCCCACTTCGGCAGCTCGGTTGTCTTCCTGCCCCTCAATGCAGCCTGCTTCTTCGTCCGCACACAGTAGGGAGAGGGCTTATTTTGCCTAACCCCCTTCCCACCCCTCACTGGTCTGGTCTTCCGGCTCTGGTCTGCGTGCAAGTGCTACAAAGTGCTAAGAACACTCATCGCCCTTTTTCGGTCCACAGATCCGTCCAGCACCAGGTCCCGAATCCGGGCCCCTCTCTCTCTCTCTCTCTCTGTCTCCTCCGCAATCCTGTTCCCCTGCATCAGCGTCATCCTCCTCCTAATCGTTGGGCCCTGCTAAGCCCCCAACCTCCTCCTCATCGTCGTCGTGGTGCTTGCTCCCATCAACAACCCCCCGTCGCCGGTTTCTGTGTCGATCGCTCGAGCTAAAGTGCTTAGCCGTGCCACTTCCGGCCACCCTCGATCCTCTTCCCCGGCGTGGCTAGCCAGACGGGGCTTCCCAATCTGCGAGCCTCCTCTATCTCGGTGGCGCCTCCGGATTGGAGCACCCTCGGAGCCCCCTGGGAGCCCCCCATCGTTGGCCGCAGAGTTGTTGGGTCAGCGACAACTAACAGAGGGGCCAGAGTTTCGTCGCCCATAGCCAGCCCAGCCCAGCCCAGCCCCTGGGCCGCAAAAGGGACCGACCTCGGACCTCACTCACCACGCCAGCCAGCCAGAGCAGACCGGACCAGAGCAGAGCAGACCAGAGAAGGGAAGAGAAGAGCAGAGCAGAGCAGAGCAGCAGACCTCACCGCACCGCACCTCACCTCACCTCTCACCGCACCGCACCTTGCTTCGCTTCACAGGCTCACTGCACCCCGTCTCACCTCACTCAGCTCGGACCTCCTCCTCTGCTCTGATCTGCTCTGCTCTGCTAAGCCCTGCCTCCTCTCTAGAAGAGGAAGAGGAAGAGGAGCTGCGTGCGTGCGTGGTGAGCGAATTAGTGCGCGCGAGGGAGTGAGTGAGTGAGCGAGCCGCAGATTGACGACGACGACGACGACGACGCGAACGCTAGCAGTCGAAGCAGTGGGCGGGTGGGAAGGGGAGGGGAGGGGTGGGGGGCCGGGGGCGGGTCGGGCTGCGGGGGGTATTGTGTAGCTTCGAAGGTTTCGCTCGACCATACAGCAGCAGCAGAAGCAGCAGAAGCAGCAGCAGTGGTAGATGTAATAGTCGGGCCGGCTCGAGAGCCCTTGGTGCTCGCGCGGAGTCTTGATAGAGCGACGGGGGGTCGCCGTTGGAGGGGAGGGCCTTGTGCAGGCAGCCCCAGGATGTCGGGACTCATGGAGATGGAGGGAGAGGGAATGCGTGGATGAATGTCGTGAGGCAGCAAGAGGAAAGGAAAGGAAGCAAGGAGGCGGGAGAAGAAAGGACGAGCGGACGAGTAGTAGGTTGTTGTTTGGAATCAGATCCCTGGGTCAGGTCGGACTGCGACCGCCCCCGTAATTTCTTGGGTGGTCTCTCCGGAGGTAGCACCGCCATCATCACCACCATCACAGCCCCCATCAGCTCCTACTCCCGGCAGGGCAAACGCAAATTTTTAAATTTCGAGAGTGTCGCGCTAGGCAGAGTTTGACCGCACTCGACGACGAGAGCGAGAGCGAGACGGACGAGCTTTGTATCTCGTTCTCTCGGCAGCTGTGTCTCTCGCCCTCTCTGTGTTTCTCGCCCGCCCCGTCTCGGCATCGGTCGGACGGTGTGCTCGTCGGCAGCGACGAGCTCTTTCCGAGCGGAAAAGCTGTGGAACAGCTGGGCGCTAGTAGCATTTGGAAGAAAGTGCATCAGCAGAGTGATCCAGGGTCGGAAATTGGCCAGATCTGCAACATCGGGGAAGTTAAACCTTATTGATAATCATATGGACCTCTACGGGAGCTCTCCTTTACAGTATTGGACATCCACCAAGGTTTCCTGCCCTTCCACCACCACCACCATCACCACTCTCTTCCCATAGGGGGCTGGCTCGCTAGCTCGTGTCGGGACCGTGGTGTTGCGGCTCGCCTGTCTGCGCTCTCAGTCGTTAAGTGTACAAGTTTTTTGGTTTAGATTGCCGCTCGTAGCATCATTCTTTGTTAGAGTAGTGAAATTCTGCCTCGTACATGAGCTCAAGTGAGCCCTCGAGCTCAGGGACGTCAGCACCTGGGTCAAATTTTTGTCACTGAGAGATTTCTTATCATTGTATCGGACCGTCTTTCTTGATAGCCCGGGGGCCCATGCACTGTTGAACGAGGAAGATTCATGGAAGGAGGCGAAATGAGTGGAACGGGGGTGGAATTTGGGCAAGTGGTTTTGAGAAAGCCCACGCCCTCCAGGCCTCAGTCGAGTATGCGAGGTGGGCCGGGGGATATGGGTATGTCGTTGTTGTCGCAGGGATTCGCCGAGCACGAATCCGACAGGTCTTTCACTCACATGTTGGCAGGCGCCACTTCGCCGCCCTCGTCCGAGGATGGCAAGGGCGGAGGCATGGATTCCGATGGGATGAACACCGGGGTTCGAGCTTTAGGTGGCGGAGGAGGCAGCTTTGCCGGTCGCCTACTCGCCAGACAGAAGGACTTGGCAGATATGGGCGGCGGCATGGGCGGGGGCGGACTCCTCAATCAAGCCAAGATCATGCCTCCTTCGCGGATTGCCATGCCCCAGCAAATGCCAGATTTTCAGCAGCTCACAATTCCTCCCGGCCTCAGCCCCAGCCAGCTCCTCGATTCGCCCGTCTTTTTGGCCAACCATCAGGCACTGCCCTACCCTCTTGCCAATTGCTCCGCTTGCTGCTAATCCCGTTGCTGCATCTCCCGAAATGTCGAAACATTTTTTTTTCTTCTAATTAAGTTCTTTGCACCTTTTTTTTCTCGGGGATCTGTTTGTTGCACTTCTCGTGTCATCGTCGTTTACCTTCTCCCCTCGTCGATGCTTTTCAATCCTGGTGAGGTTGAAGAAGTCGTGGGGCGCCGCTGTTCCTCGTGCCTAATCACAAGGAGCCCGGGGAAGCGGCTAATGATGCGAAGCTTTTCTCTTGATTAAGTTTTATCCACGTAGTGCGTGGATGGACCCGGTTGGAAAAGAGATGCTTTTTCACCTTTATGCTGGTCTCTTGGTAGGTGGAGAAGATGCTTCCAATTTTGTCTAACCAAATTGTTTCCCTTGTGCTTCGGGTGTGAGCAGGCAGAGCCATCTCCGACTACAGGCACATTTCCTCTGCCCCCATTCTTGGCCGAGCCACCGAAGGATAAGAACAATGATCAAGGCAGCACTCCTGGCTTCGTATTTAAGCCTTTCCCCGTCAGCGCGATGCGAAATCCCATGTCTCCCCTCAGCCAAGGACTGGTAAGTTCCACCCTCTCGAACAGATTTCGGAATTTATTCCCTTGTTTGCAATTCGGAAGAGGTGAAACCAGCTGCTTGGCCCGGATTCTGGATCGAGCAGGGTCGAACGTGGGGTTCTTACGCCAGCTTCGTTTTGTTTTCTCTCGATGATCCACAATTCAAACAAGGGAGGCTTCCATCCACCTCCTCTACTGCATGATCGAAAGGCTGAAGGTTGACGATGGCAACAATCCAGAGGAGCTGTGATCGAATATTTTAATATCAAAATTTTCATAGTGTAGTCTCCTTCGCATGCGTACCAAGAATCCCATGGCAGGCCAAGCGGTGGTGTTACATGGCGTGTCCGGCATGTACAACCCGTTTCGGGTCACAGATACTCGTCGGTGTGACACATAGTACTGTCATAGTACTGTCATACAGCTGGAACCAGACATTTGGCTGCTGTCTTGCTTCACCGATTTCTTCGCTTTTGGCATGCTTCATTTTCACACGATCCTGACGCTTGTGTTCTTCGTGATGGCTGGATGTACAGGGCCATCAATTCGGAAACTCGCAGCAAATGCACCAGACTCAGTCACAGACGCAATCTGGAGGACAACAAATGCTGTCAAACGTGCAATCTCTAGGAGGGCATGGTCAAGGAAACAACAACAACAACAGCAATCCAGGATCGAGCTCGGCCATGCCCGTGGCCGTGGCCTTGAGCATGCCGTCCCCGCCCACCAGGCAACAACCGGAGAGGAGCTCGGAGTCTCAGCAGACCCACTCGCCAGAGCAAGAAACTCAACCGCCTCCTCAACATACAACATACATTGAGCGACCCTCGGAGGATGGCTACAACTGGCGCAAGTACGGGCAGAAGCAAGTGAAGGGCAGCGAATTCCCTCGCAGCTACTACAAGTGCACTCACGCCACCTGCCCCATGAAGAAGAAGGTGGAGCGATCACTCGATGGCCAAGTGACGGAGATTGTGTACAAGGGAGAGCACAATCACCCCAAGCCACAGCCGACTCGACGTTTGGCTGTTGCTGCTGCTCAGCTCATTTCCGACAACGCCAGTGACAGGGCCGATGGAGATGAGAAGTGGGGAGGCTTCCAGACTCACGGCGGGGACTATGGAGTCAAGCACGAGAGGGGCGACGACCCCTCATCATCCGTCAGGGGTCGCCCCTCACTCGGTTTCACTCTGGGTCAAAATGGCACCCCAGAGCCCTCTTCTCCTTCGACCAGCGAAGATGGAAGCAAGAGCCTGACAGAGGATGGAGACGACGAGGACGGACCAGACCACAAGCGAAGGTTGGTAGCTTCTGACTGATTTCTCCACGTTGTATACATTAAATTCTGGAGTGCATTTTTGTACCGACGAGCTGCCGACTGGAAGGATCACGAGTTAAACTCGACTACTAGTTCTCGAGTCTTTCGAGTCTTTCGACTGGGATCATTGATTCTTGTGATTTTGTTGTGCAGAAAAAAAGATAAGCGGGCTGTGAAGGAGCAACTGCCGCCTTCAGCACCCAGAACGATTCGTGAACCTCGTGTGGTCGTACAAACAACCAGCGACGTCGACATCCTGGACGACGGCTATCGGTGGCGCAAGTATGGCCAGAAAGTGGTCAAGGGGAACCCACATCCAAGGTATGAACCCCGTCTCTCAGGCAGGCATCTGTGATGGAAGAAGCTCAGTCTTGAACATCGAACGAAGAGGCGGGGATTTTTAATCTCTGGACATACGTCAGTGTGTTCTGAGCTCGATTGTGGTTGGTTGTCTGATCGAGTGTGTTGGTGTGTGTGCAGGAGCTATTACAAGTGCACCAATCAGGGTTGCCCTGTGCGCAAGCATGTGGAAAGGGCCTCCAACGATCCCAAGGCGGTGATCACCACGTACGAGGGAAAACACAACCACGATGTGCCTTTGGCACGGAACAGCAGCCACGACAACGCTGGCGCGGGGGGAGGCAATGCTTCAGCGACCTCGCAAAGTGCAGCGAGCTCGCATGCCGGGCCAGCTCTGCAACAGCAGCAGGGCTATGGAAGGAGGATGTCGGTGTTCGGAAGGCATCTGGAGGACGGATCGAAAGGGGACTCGACGGGAGCCGACGTAGACTTGGGAATGGGAGTGGGAATGGGGCAAAGTATGCGGAACATGGATGGGAGTGGCGTAGGTAATAACACAGTAAACGGGGACATGTCGGTCTCCACTTCGATCGCGATGAACTTGCAACAGTCTTTAGGACAGAGGCAAATGATGATGGTGCAGCCCTTCGGCGGAGGGTCGAATCAGCACGACTCGTTAAGGCCTAAGCAGGAACAAGATGAATCGCATCATCACAACGGGGGCTTGCAACCCAGCAATGTGTACCAGCCCCAAAGAGTGTCCTTGGGACCTTGAAGAAGATGACGCTGCAGAAGAAGAGAAGTCTTGTATCATTTTCCAAAGTCACGAGTCAGCTGTAAAATGTTCAATACTCGTTTCTACATCTGTAAGGTCCTGGCTGGGAGCACGATCGTGCGCTTCAGTAAGAACGCGCACGGTTTTTTGAGAAACGAATTGTGCCGATTGTGTGTAAGTAAGAAACCTGAATCAAACTTTAGTGCTTAGTAGGTAGGTTTGACACAGACTGTACATTAGCTGGGATAACTCGTATTTTCCTTCTTTCTAGGTGGCAGTTAACATTCTTTGAGCTGAGATACGATGTTCAAGGAGCTAGGAGCTTATCCACTCCTACCAGTTGGGCTGTATGTAAAGAAAGCAACATGGCTTGTACACCTGGGCCCTACATTCAAAATAATCTCGTCTACTTTTGCCAGATTTTTCCTCGAACAATTTTGCCTCTTGCAGTGTTCTACATACAAGCGGGGCCCTTTGTAGCAACTTGTCAAGTCATTGCGGCAGTAGCAGTTTTCCTAATCGCTCTTCCACAGTCACTGAGTCGTTTTTCCCCTCCTTTCTTCCACTGAGCTTAGCACCGTAGCCCCGTAGTAGCGTCGTCGAGGTAGGTCGTGTTCGGGAGGCCACGAGGAAGAAGGAGGAGGAGGATGCGAATCCCCTGCCAAACCAGTTGGTACCGAACTCTCTCGGGGATATGAACTCTCTCGGGGATATGTACCGCGTGTCCTAGAGAGGGATTTTCTGGCCTCTTCTTCTCGCCCGGTCCATGGCGAGCAAGAGCAACAATCACGAAATGTTTACATATGACTTTCCGGCGCTTTCAGCCGTCAGGCAATATTAGGCGTGTGGACCATTCATTCATTCGGCTTGCCCCTTTGATTCTCTCTCTGCTTGAAGTGCATGGATCTATCTGCCCTCTGATTTGTCCATCTCTGCGTCTCGCACTGCTCTCTCTCTCTCTCGCTTGCTTCGAATCCAAGTCATCTCTGCGTCTCCGCGTCTCGGGCCGCTGCAAGTGGCAAGTGGGTGTGCACCCCTCGGCGTGGCAGTAGCCCCCTTTTGCCCCGCCTGCCCGAGGGGCTAAACGATATCTACGCGGGGGCAGGGTCTTCGTCTTAGTCGTCGTCGTTGTCAGTGGGGAAATGTTTTCCACATCTAGCCCCTTTTCTCTCTCTTTACACATCCCCGAACGAATCCATCGCCTTTCTCCGTGGCCCGTGCCGGTGCTCTCCCGGAGTGCGGCGTCGAGGTCGGTCGGTCGGTCCATCGATCGGTCCCACGAACCTTCTGCCACATCACGACGATATCGAGGCCCACGCTGATACCTGTCAGCAATTCAGCAGCTGCTCGCCTGAGAAGGCATGACGACCCGCTGGCTTGGCCCGGAGAAATCCACCCGAGCGAGCCGACTAATATCGTTCACCTTTTATCGGAATGTTCCTCGCATCTATCTCTCACGTTTACAAGACTAGGGCGGAAAGATTGGCCCTGGTGGCAGGCCAGCAGCACGGCCGAATGTGTAAGCCGCTGGCTGGCTGGCGGGCTGGCGGGCTGGCCCGACGAGACTCGATGGAGGTTGGTTTCTTAGGTCGAGCCGAGCCGAGCCGAAAGAATCAGAGGGAGCAGAATTGGTCAAACGAGAAAAGGTCTAATGGGACCGGACCGAACAAACAAGAGGGCTTGGACGGATGAGTATGGTCAAAGCTGGAAATGGGCCCGAGTCCATGCAGGATAAGAGAATAGTGCTGCATGGTCGTTTGCTGTTGGATATGGAGGGAGGGAAGGTCTGCGTCCGAAACCAAATGTGACCGACTCACTCTTTGACTGACTGCCGATGGGTCTTCCAACACCGGGGGCAAGGAAAGGTCGAGCCCGAAAGCTGAAATTTCTCTCGATCCGGAGATGGGCCCGGTCGAGGCCGGGCGGTTCGGGCTGGGGCTGGGGCAGGGGCAGGGGCTTGGGGTTGGGGCTGGGGCTTGAGCTCGAGCTCGAGAGGGCTTCTCTCTCTTCGCTCGATGTCACCGGTCTCGCAGGCAGGAGAGAAGTAATTTTGCGGAGAGTGTCGGGGGAAAAGGTCATGTTTTGACCAAGTCGATCGGTAGGCCAGTGTCTCGAGGGGGTGAATCACAATTCAAGCCATCGATCGGCTTAGCTCTGCTTTTGAGGTCCCAGTCAGCAGTCCTCGGCTCTGGGTCCCACTCCCCCGCCCATACCGATCTGGATCTTGCGTGCTGATCGGGACAAGAACATGTCGTCACTGAGCTCTCTTTCAAGCTCTCCCTTCCCCCCTCCTCTCCCCCATCTCCGTCTCTGTCACTCTTCCCATTCCCTCCCCCTCCTCCCCGCCTCATTCGAGCCTCTCTGCCTACTCTCCAGCTCTCCCTTCCCTTCCCTCCTTCCCCCGGCGATGCGCTCGTGACATGTTTGCTGTGCCTAACTTTTCGCACTCTTCTTTCCCCTTCCTGCTTCCTCTTCTTCTTGTGCTTCTTCTTCCCCTTTAGGGGCTTGGGCTTGGGGTTGCAGTTCTAGGTCAGCTCAGATAAAGAACTGTACTGGAAATATCGGTAACGGCCATCCAGCACGCGGAGCTCTTCGGGTGGTTAACCTCGTCCTCTTCGCCTTTAGGACAGGGAGGAACTGCCCCGTTACCAGAGCTAGCAGAATTTTCGGCTTGGAGGGGTCGGAGGTGCCGGCGGGATAGGGAGGGGAGGGGGAGGGGCAAGGGGAGAGGGGCAGAGGGGCAAAGGGGGCGAGTCTACGAATGACGCACAAGGGAGGGGGGTGATGGGATGTTTAGTCTTCTACACCAGACCGCGACTTTTCTCTTTGTTTAAGTGCCTGCGACAGTTACTCATGCTTCCTCCTCCCGCTGCCCGCCCGAGAGGATTTGTGGCTACAAGTACGTACACTGTAGGCTGGAGGTGGGCAAGAGTCATTCGATTGTGCACACTTTTCAGCTCGAGACCAGTCAGCCGGGCTGAGCTGCTGCTTTCCACTGCAATTTCTTCTCCCTCTTGGGCTACAGCGGCTTCTCCCACTTGTTCTGGAGGGTTCTGGGACCCAGCGCCGAGGGGTGCCACGGAGGCCCTCTCGTCGATCCCCATTGGCCCCATTGCGCTTCGATCCCGATCTTTCCCTCGCTCCCCGGCTTGTCGTCTTATCATACTCTTTTTCTCCCTCCCTCCATCGCTCGCTCTCTCCCTCGGCCTCGCGGGCTCTGGGTGTCTATATTTGGGAGGGCTAGACGAAAGCTCGGGGCAGTCAAAGTTCGCCTCGAGCTTTTTATCATTCAAATTCAATGCTTTTGTTTGGGGATCGGAGGAAATCATAAAGCGACTCTCGGTTCTCCTCTTCTCCTCTCAGTGGAAAGTGACTTTGACCATCGAAAAGCAAGCGAGCAAGTAAGCAAGCAAGCCCTCGCCCCATCCCCTCCTCCTCCTCCTCCTCCTCCTCTTCCTCCAGGACAAGCACAGATGGAAAGCCACGGATCTATCCCATCCCCTGCCCTGCCCCATGCCCACTCTCTTTCTCTCTCTCTCTCCTCGCCTGCTGCTGCTGCTGCTTCCCAACGGTTTGGTGAGGTCTACTCTTCTAGCGCACTGTGGAACTGTACAGACAGCAGAGGCAGCGGCTGCTGCTGCAGCTGCTGCCTTGCCACCGTCGGCAGCTCATTCATTCCTGTTGCTATATTTGCACAATCATGGGGTCGAACTCGCCGATGGCGCGTTGTGCACTATTCCACGTTGAGTAAGTTCTGTACTGTAGGCGGGGGTTAGTTCCACAGCACCATCAGCTGTTCTGTTCTCTTTCAACTCGATGCTGTGCGAAAGTCGTTAGCCGATTCCGTCATTGTTGCGCACTCGTAGGTCCGGTTGGCGGCCAAACTAGGCTCCCTGATGCGTCTGCACCGAGCGAGCAGTAGGCAAGGAGGAGCTGGAGGCTGACCTGACCGATCTGGTCAGCAGAGCTCCAGAGCCGATTCCAGAACCTATTCCTTGGAAGCCCGCGGAGTCTTCGTTCTCTCGTCGAATGCCTCTCCATCTCGGATTCATCCATTTCGTTCAGCTGCGCGAGATGGAGGATTGGACGTACACTGCTGCACTCGAGGAAGAGGGATCAATGGCTGCTGCCATGATTGGCAGGCAGGCAGACTGAGGGCTTTCCCCTGTACATCATAGATCCTTGTAGATGCCAACGTCGCTAGCGTGTTGGGCCTTGCTGCAGCTGCAGCGGCAGCGAAGCTATGGCTCGACGGGGCTCGTTTTGGCAGGGCCGGCCGGACTGCGACGCGAGCTCATAATCAGTGCAGTGTGGCTAGCTTGCGGGCGGGCGGGGCACGGGTATCGAGAGCCAAATATGCGAGGCGTGCCCCATGACCAGCACCAGCACCAGCACCACAAGGATCGCCCCTGTTCAGGAGCTAAGCACCACATCATATATTCTCCGCGCTCGCAAGCGAACAACGCATCCACTGTGTCCTTGTTGATCGAGGCCATGCCATGGCTGCACACCGCCATTTGTTTGTGGCGACGCTCGGCACGGGGCTTACCTGCCGTCGTGCCCCATCTTCCCCCCTACGTTCACTACAGTGGGGCTGACCCTGGGCTTAGCCGCGCTAACCCCGGCTCGGTTCCGGCCAGGCTCGGCGATGCGATAAGTGGTTTCCGCCGGGGCGGGGCTTGGGCTTGGGCCTAGGCTTGGGCCACCATGCTCTCACCTCGGGCAGGAGATAGATAGGCTCTTGTGCTGGGGTTGAAAATTCTCCTTAGCATGATCCTAAGGACGAGAAATCCATCTCTGGCAGGCAGGATTCGTGAGGGGCGAACGAACCTCGCGCTTTGTTCGTCGTCTCGCCGATCGAGACAAGCGAGGCCGAGGTCATGCAGAGATAGATTGATTGACACATAGCCCCAGCGAGAATTCGCGCCCTCTTTACGTCGTTTATCCTTTGACCATCCGGAATAGGGACTAACTTTTCTGACTTTGTGTGACAGTGTTGTAATCGGCTCCCGCATCGCAGCGGGACTCTCGCCCCGGATCTGCGAGCCCGCCCGCCCGCCCGCCCGCCCGCCAGCCACCCAGCCTGACAGCCCCCGCAGCCGCCTCCATTAGCACGCAAATGCGGCCAAATTAGTCGCGTTCGCGGCTTTCGGGCGTTGTCTGCACTCGATCTCGCTACAAGCCCAAGCCCAAGCCCGAGCCCCTTTCCCCACCCAGCACCCAACCCCAACCCCAACCCCAACCCCGGCCATGTGGTATTGGTATAAGGCGTATGGAAGTGCAAAGTTCGTGGATCATCAGCACCAGCGGACAATGGACTCAAAAAGATCGAGAGAATAAGTCTCATAAACAGGAGAGCGTCTGATCATTGGAGTCGCAGATTCATCGCCTTTCCAGTTTTGTTTTGTGAACATCGGAACAAAGGGCGCTGCCGCAGCTGCTGCTGCTGCTGATCTATGACATCGTACTATCAGGACCACACTCTACTCCTTGACCAAGAGAATGTCAAGGACGCCCTAGGCATTGCAAGCCCACGAAGCGGGTAAGTCCTTTCCTATCCTGTATCTGCGAACACTACGAAAAGAAAGGCTCGTGATGTAAGCCCCTCCCGAGGAAGACAAGGTCAGATTTACTCAAAAGGGCCGACGACGAGGTTGGTGGTTCAAACGAGATCTCGGTCAAACCTTTACCACTCCTCCTCTGCGCGCACTTCCTAGCCCCCATTTATATCTTTTCATTTCCGCAATATTGTAAGCGGGCGAGGGTTTAACATTTTGAATCATTCGAAGCACCGGGGCCGAAATGCACTGCATTCGTGCACACATTGTTGGTCGTACACGTACAAGAGGCAACAACAGCTTGTGGCTTTGTGGCCTTTTGTCGAGACAGCAGATGCATATCCTTCATATGCAGCCCCTTTCCTTGTCCACCTTGTGCTTGCATCAAGTTGGTACCCCGATGTCTGAGACCCCGATCTCGTGCCGATCCCTGTCGAAAGTCAACCTTCCCCGATAACAAGCTCCCCACGTTCTGCGCGATTCACTCGAGCCCATCCCATCCTCTACCACCAGGCTCGCAGCTGGGGCTGGGCTAGCTGCTAATGGGACACATACAAGCCCCTCCCCAGGCCAGAAGATGACGGTTGCTCAGAGCTGATGCAAATTCCAGATCCTCTGCGGGAGAAGTAGAAACAGAAAAGAGCCAGAGCCAGAGAGAGAGAGCTCGAGGAAGCATGAGCGTCGTCGTTATTTGCCATCTAAACTCGAGGACTGGCACTAGCGAGTGGAGAATAAGAATATTACTGCCTCATCAGAGAAGGTGAATCTGACAGTATCGGAGTTTGAAGCCGGACTGAATCAACTGCTAATCTCATCTCATCTCATCTCATCCTGCGAGTTTGTCCTACGCACGTCTCACTCGCTGGAAAAAATGCCCGCATACGACTTATGACTTCTGTCTGGGAGGAAGAATGCCAACCAGAAGCTCGAGTGCACAAGCTGGTCCGACCGACCACTTCCCTGAAGCAGGTGAGACATCACAGTCGCCCTGTCTTATGTGTTCTCTTGACCCAAAGCTCGCAGCCATTACAGCCAAACGAAGCGCGTCTTTGCCCTCTCTTAATTTGGCAGCATCTGTTAAAGTGCCCAAACCAGAGCAGGTGCGTGCTCCCTTCCTTCTCCTTCACCTTTCCATTCTCTGGATCGAGGATCCTTCACTACAATCAAGTACTACCAGATTAAGCCAAGCATCCAGATTCATTTCATTCAGTTTCCTCTACGGCGATCAGCTTGTCTGACGAGGTCCCAGGGGCAGGAACAGAGCAAAAGCCATTGTGAGCTACATTCATTACCTGGACGGTATGACGGCCCTCTCACCATCGGCCTGTTCAGATAAAAGGGCTGCTGGGTTGGGATAGGAAGGGGATGAGGCAGCAGCAGAGTCCAGAAAAGGTTGTGGAGTGAGTTGAAGAGGAGGGATTTTCTGGCTGAAGTCGAATCCTGAGGGGTTCTCATAAATTGGGCTCCCGGTTCGAAGCTCTTGGAGCAATTGGAGCACGAATCTTCTCTGACTGTAGTGCTGCTCCATCTCGAGGGATGATTGCACAGTCGTTCGTTCATTCATTCCTTGCGCGTCTCATCGAGCGATCAGCAGTGGGGTTCGTACATTCGATCGATGCTTATCCCTATGAGAGGCTTGTATTGAAGGCGCGCGAGGTAGAGACAAATCGCTGCACCCTAAAGCTCGAAGAATACTGTTCCAGGGGAACAGTCTGCGCTTGTGAGGACGGCAGCTTTGGTGCAAATGCCCTGTCTCGATATAGGTTGCAGCAGCAGCAGCAGGCATCAAACGATAGTGAGAGAGAGAGAGAGAGAGATCATCCATTGACCATGCAGAAGACGCTCAACTGACTAAAAATGAAATGTGCTGACTGATTCAAAACGAAGTGAGATATGGTGCAAGACACTTTCTCATCGAGTAAAAGTCGCATCACAAAAATAGAAAAAAACAGAACTCCACTGCAAATTGACCACTTTGGACATACACTTCCCCGTAGCATGTTATTTTTTTCCCATTAAAAAATAATAAAAAACCTGCACTTACTAGTAGGGTTTGTCACACTCCTCCACACGTCAGATGTAAAATTAGAACTTGTGTAATGTCTCATCAGCATTCGGAACCACTATGGGGTTAGTAAGAAACCCTGTTCTCTCTTCTTCACTTTTCAATTTTTCCAAGTTTTCTATACTCGATGTCTATATATCTCTCTCTGTATGTGAAAACCCCTGAAGGATGAACTCTGTGTATTGGGCACGGGACTTATAAACGACTTGACAAGTGGAAATGATTGAGAAACGTCCTTGGGGATCAATGTCGTTATGTGGATAATCTGATTGGCCCCAAAAAGTTGGCTTCGAGTTTGCGACAGGTGGGTTTGTGGCAAAGGGGTCAAGGTGAACACTAGTGGCATGTCACATGCGAGGCATTACACGTATTGTCTGCACGCTGTGCGCTTTCCACCTTGATTGTCTAGGGGGTGTCTGAAGGGAGGGCCTGTGAGCTTGTTCCAACAACTTGACTGATTCAAAACCTTGATCTGATGAACTTGTTCATTGCGAGGATTCAGTGCCAGGGTTATCCAGTGCGGGGCCGGATCTCTTTTTCCACACGAGGCCTGGCTTCCAACAAAGGCTCCTCAGAAGCATCTACTCGACAAACAACAACCGCAGTTCTCGACACCTGGTGATGTGGATATCGCCTCCATGTCTGGACGTAACGAGATTTTCTGCAGCTGTTGGACAGAATCAATGACAACGTCAACTCTCGTTCAACGACAGATGGAAGTCCAGCAGATTCAAAGTTGATGTTGGAACAGTCAAACTGGAGGAGAGTATTCCAGGAAGTCTGAAATTCCTCCCTCGGAGATTCAGTGTTTCAGTGTTCAGTTGTGATTGATTGGAAGACGATATTGAAACAGTCAAACTGGAGGAGGCTATTCCAGCACTCAATTGTGATTTGAGATGAGACGAACGACCAGATACAAAGGATCCAGAACCACTGTAGGCCTCACAAAACCACTCCACTTCGTTGAGCAGAGTAAAACGTGAGCAGAACATTGGACATCCACCACCTCATGCAGGTCCAGAATTCTAGAGAGAACCACTTGCTCGCGCACCAGCCTTCGATATTCATTCGCCGAATATCGTATGAATGCTCATTTATATATGTTTATATATCTTCCTCCGATTATTCCTGGGTAATCTCAGCTTCTTTAACATAGATAGCTGCGGAAGTTACATCGGCTCTGCTCAATTACTCGTGTACGATCTCACTGTATTCGTCTCGTTTGTTTCGAGGCTAAGTTTCAGCACCAGTCAAAGAGGCTGTCAATGTGAACGAGACCATGTACACACCGTGAAACCATCAAACCAGCGAACCCTCAAAAGTGCCACTGTCACAGTTTTCGGTCCCCAAATACAGCTAGCTCGCCGTGTGTTTATTATACTGCCTCGGTTCAGGTGGTAGCAAAACAACCTGTTGGCTCGAGCAAAACCAAATGAACCAGCCTTGGATCGGAGAGTAATGGAAACTTCGGTAATTACGCGAGGGTAAGCACCAGTGGGTCCCAAAAGAGGCTTTCCTTGAGGCAGGGATTCAGTTTTTGGGACAGAACTACTAAAGTGAGACTTGGGGAGGGGCAGGGGCATTTCAACGGAAGGTGGAACACCGTTTCGATCGATTCTCCCTCGGTCTAATCAGTCGGGTCTCCATGATGGCGTCTACTTGCTTACAGACAGACAGACTGAGTCGCTGAATTCCAATAGGTAAAAGGCAAGTAGACTGAGCGAGTCGACAGGATGCTGAACTGTTGACAGATTCAAAGTGCACGAGAAACTGGAATATTCTCGAGGTCTAGAGAGTTGAGAAGCTCTACGAGACCTTGAGGAACCACTCACGGATCGGCAGTAGCTTGAGAACGAGACAAGATGGAATCTGGTGTGGGGGATGGGGGAAAGTCAGTAGCAGCACGAACTCTACCGACCATAGCAGATCCACGTCACATGACGGCAGCAACAACAAGCACTGTCATAGACTCTTGTGTACTCTGCACATGGTTATATTCCATGACATGACACTAGCTGGGGAGAAGAATCCATCGAGGCGCACAATCGACAAATGGTGAAGACAATGCCCATAAATCCACAAAGGAACTCGTGCAGATACCTTCGCACAAAAAGGCCACAGAGCTCCATTCCACTTCTCTACAGAGTGCTCCGGGAAAATCGTGGTCCCTCGTCAGTCCCTAGAGGGACTCACAACAGGGACACGTACATACTGCCTCTGGACAGCAATGCTACGACACGAGGTATATATATCTACAGATGAAGAGCGTCCGAACAAGAGTATAGACGTAAATGATGTAGAGCAAGTAAGGCAGGAAAGTCAGGTCAGTAGGTACAGCGAGCAAAACTTCAGTGAAGCTGTCGAGCTTCGACGTTCGAGAAAAAATGCCAACTCGTATCACTGAAAGCAGACGGGTAGAAATCGTCGGCCACGGGAATTTCTTCCACAAACTCCTGCACCTTCAACAAATACGAAGGGATGTCGCCATCTGGTAAGGGGTACATGGTCCAGCGGTCACTGTATGTTCTAAAGCTGTTGCCCAGAATCACTATCTGCTTGAGCTTGTAGGGCTCCACGCACGTCTGCACTACTCTATCATACAAATCTACTTCGTTGTGCGGCATGAAAAACAGGGTCGGTCCGTTGATGGCTCGGCTTCCATTCTCGTTCGTCTCGAGCGTCACGCATCCCAGACTTCTCATTACCCTACATTCTATGGGCGTCATTATGGGATCGTACACCAGCAGCTGCCCAATTGAACGGAAATTCCGCTGCATCAGAAGCGCCAGTGCCAGCTGACATCGGGCAATCTCCGCAGTGTAGATGCTTCCCACCCCATACAACACCATCTCAATCTTGGGGCCCCCTCCTCCTCCTTTCTTCTCCCCCTTATCCTCCTTCTCGGGCTTCCTCTCAACTTTTCGGTCGACGTCGCCGCCTTGCTCTGCATCTCCATCTCCATCTCCTCCTCCTTCTCCGGCTGCATCCCCTTCGACCGCAACGCCGACGCCGAGCTTGGCGTCATTGCCCGGAATTCGAGCTGCAGGAGCAGCGCCATCGACTGCAGACAGGAGCAATGTCTCGACGACCTGCAACTCGCGCGTCTGCTTGAGGAATTTCTCGAAGAAGGTCGACTGCTCGACTTTGGTGATGGCGCGGCGAACTCGGCCGAGAAGCTTCTCTTCCTCCTCCTCATTGTCCACGATCCCCAGGTCCTCGTACACGGCATTGGCGAAATCGCCAGCGCCGAGCTTGTTGCCCGATCCCCGGTCCCGCGCGTTGTGCTGCAGCCACGACGAATTCAGATACGGGGCGGCCAGGCGCCGGCCTGCGCCCTTCTTCCGACTCACCACATTCCACTCGTCCATGCTCATGCTGCTGCTGCAGCTAGCCCCCGCGATCGCTCGCTCGCTGCCGCCGGCGCTTGCTGTCGGGCGAAGCGTTCTTGGCCCTGCTCCGCGTGCTCGTGCTTAGTGCTTAGTGCTACGAGGGCGAAGCCAGCCCCGCCAACAAGTGTCGTTGGTCTCGGATTGCCTGAGCCCCGAGTCCGGTGCCAAAACCCTCGATTGTGATGCTAGCCCCCACCCCCAACCCCGCCAAAGCCCCTCCCCCACCCCCAACCCCCAACCCCCGAGTCCCAAGCCCCGGCCCGAGCTAGCCCCCCTTCCAGCCCCAAACTCTCTCTCTCTCTCTCTCCGTCTGTCTCTCACTCTCTCACTCTCTCTCTCTCTAACTCACTTGGTCCGTTCTCCCTTCAGATCGCTCAGCTTTTGGGCACTTGGCTGCTTGCTGCGCAGACGCCCTCTGTTTGCTTTGCAATGCTATGCTTTGCTCTGCTTTCAGTTTGCGGGTTTAGATATGGACATTTGGCTTCGGTCACGACTCGTTGACTGTCTGTCTGACTGACTGCGCAGTCAGGCGCATCGTAGAATGTGATGAGTGAAACATGCCAGTACACACCCCGTCGTCAGACTGGAGCCTGTAGCATCATATCTTAAGGATTTAGTTTCTCGTTCAAGTTCATGACACGGAGAATTCACGGACATGGACAGTGATCATTCTCTGAGAAGGTTGTATGTGATCTCTCCGGATAATGTTATGTTATGCCTATTGCAGTCATACAGTACCCTCCCCTATTATTTCTTTAATTCCCTTAACTAGAAATGAATATTCTAATGCTGTACTGTTTTTCACACATATTTAACTCATATCATTTATTTATGTCATTGTTTCCAAAACTCGGTGGATGAGGCTCGCAGAAATGTAACTTTTGGTTTACTCAGCAAATCCGACCCATTTGTTATTTTAGATGCATAATTAATCCAAAAAAAATTCAAAATTTTTTATATCACACTAAAACTTGTGTACGAATCTTATGTGACTTTGAAATATACTTTATCCATGAAGTTATTACATAACCTGATGTCTTCTAATCCATTGTCTACCAAGGTCTAGATTCCACTCTAAGTGGATCCTTGTATCAGAATGGCTCTTTTACATTCCTATAGTCGTGTATGTTCATGGATCTTCTTGAACATACATCTTTCGACTCCCACCAATTACTATCGTTGCGATGATCTTTGCTTACAACATCCATCTAAATATTCAAAACTCAAATGTGTACAGGGTCCACTATACAAGTTACATGTGTCCAAATTAATTTGTTCCACAGTTTACTAGATCACAAGGTATGTATGTGAAAGAAATATGAGTATCTAACATCGGTCTGCATACATAATATTTGCATTAGGGTAGACTTGTTTATTTACCAGACATGACTCAACTTTAGACTGGATTGTCATTAATCAATTTTGCGGGCGAGTGGAGCAACAGTCATTATGAAAAAGTAAAGATTCCTCATTTCTTTAAGTTTTGCATTATCCCACATGAACACCTACTTCAACATGTTCGTATGTTCTGTGAGAGTTTGCCACTGTCTCTGCGTTATGGTTCACATTACTTCATGTAAGATGTTGCAATTGCACTCCACGTAGTTAATGATTGTTCTTGCGATATAATTTGTGAACACAATACTTTTTATGAGATGTTTCATTTGCACTTCACACGTAGTTGATGATTCTTCTTGGGAAATAATTCGAGTACACAATTTTCTATGGGTGAGATATGTTAGGGAACGTAGTACATATATTTAACATGACGAGTGTGATGCCATAGGGACTATGTGCATCGGAATCACTATTTTCTGACTCGATCAAGACTGAGGCCCCTGCTGTTATTATATTGTGCCCCAATCTACTAAGATTACGCACAAGGTTACGTCACGCATATTTTAATTAAGAATTCGTGGAGTATTGAGATCACTCGCAATGCTACGTCATACAGTTTGTAATTAAGAATTGATGGAGGACCGTAAACCCGGTTAGAAAACACGGACTGACAGGGGCAAGTTTTTCCACGGATTGTACCAGATGCAGTGGAGGGTACTGCACCTACCACAGCAAGCATGGAAGAGAGAGACATTGATTAGTTTTATAATCAGCAGCAGCTCGAGCAGCAAATTGCCGAGTCGAATGGCAGGGAGGGGGGTTGTTTCTCGCTCCCTTCCACATCGGAAAGAATGTGTCCGAAAATGCTCCTGTGGGCCTCATAATGGAATGTCTGGAAGCAGCAAAATACATTAATGGGACCAGTGCATGGCATGCGCCCAGACGAGGAGCGGGCCAGTCACAGGAGACGGGAAGGTGTTCATAGCTGTTGATGCTCCCGACTGTTTATCTCCCACGATGGTACAGTTTCGAACAGACTCGTGTAAGAAGTAGGCAGCAGGCAAGTACAATCTTGGATTGGATCGCAAGCTGCTAAAGCTGGGGCTGGCAGAGTTCTCAACACGTTGCTGACTTGCTTCTGAACATGAACTCCTCGAAAAGATTGCCTCGGAATCATCAACCTCTAGATCTTTGCTGGCACTTGGAGGCTCGTGTAACGTGTCTGCCGAAGGATATTATTTGCCCACTTTCGCGTCTCCGAGTGCAACACGCGTCTGCGGCCACAGATCGCTAAGTACTGCTGATTGGTGCTATGCCGGAAGATATCGGGAACTTGTTCATGAGCTCGTTCATCGAAACTAACAACCTGCTTCCTCGCCTTAACAGAAACCTAAAGCTTTGGGCTTACTGATAAATTACTGACAGAATCATTGCGTCCTTCGGAACATACAACACCCTGTGTAGACATGGATTTCACCCTGAACTGCAAATACGTACATCTGGACGCTGCGTCCACATGAGTCTCGACACCACCTGAATGCATGAAGATATTTTACGACAATGCATGAGATCACTTCAAGAGGGTCATGCGTCTTATACCTTTCCGGTCGAGATCTCGACGGGACGCAACAGGCCCATAGAATCAAATACATGCGCAGGTAACCTCACATCAATGCAGGCCCCGTCTGCCGCAGTTACCCCATGTCAAAATTGCTCGTCATGTGCCAATCACACCCACACACACAAAGTGTAACTGCGACAGCGAAGAGGAAAAAGCATGTTGCGCCCCAGACGAACATCGAGGATGTTGCTTTCGCACAAGGATGACAACGAAGAATCATAATAAAGAACATAGCAATATTCTCAAATATAGAATAGTGATTATTCCGGAGAACCGGAAGTTTTTAGACCAGATGATATTTAAAGTGCATGCACTGCGAAGCGTGGTGACTTCGCTTGGCATTTTCTGTACACCCAAGTCAGTGCATGGGGAACCAATGTACAAGTGTTCACTCGAGACAGGATACCTTCAAGCAAGATTCCTGATTGCTATAATAGACATGTGCTAATCGGTTGGCACGGTACAAAACTCGGGCCACTTCTGTTGTTAGTTGGTAACTCGGGTGGAGCTGCTTATACAAACTGAATTTGCAAGGTCTCTGGGGACTTCGCAAAACTTTTGGGTATCGGATACTATCCCTACTTTATATATTTCCCGCTTTCTATACAATGCAATGGTTTGTCGTCCGGTGGCCTTACACCAAGACAAGTGCACATGGTAGCCCATTGACCTGCTTCTCCACTTACTGGAGACGGTAAAACGAACCATTCGGTGCCTCACGGTTTCCAACTAGAGGTGGCACATCAACCTAAGAAACTTTCAACTTTACAAAAATTAGATCAACGTATATACACGGACTGTTCGGGTGGAAAGGTGTCCTACACCATACTTTTGGCAGCAAAAGCTCGTTAGTACCTGGTCCTAACCTCAAAGACAGAGACCACTCTGGCAGGTTCACATTCACACAAAGACTATATTAGGAATGTGCACGTGATTGGAACTGCTACTCACTTATTGTGGAAGGGTCTTTGAAGGGTATAAGAAGAGGACTGAATTGTGTACATGAGACGCGACAGGGAGGCTGTCATATGCCCAAGGTCCTGATTTAAACAGGAGCCGATCGGTGCCGACTCACTCTTTCTCTTCGCGCTTCTATAGCACACTTACAGTGCACCGTCGTGAGATTGAGACATCCACTTATATACAAGGAGCACCTGTCGGGACACGTATGAAGGGCTGGGTAAGCATTGCAAACCGCCTGAACTGCTCCAGCTGAAAGAGCCATGCATCCACTCAGGTTGAGAGACATCAACCCAAATCCTTGAGGATCGTTGATAAGCGTCTCGAGATATCCCCTCGTACTACTCGACTGCTGATGAGTGACACTATCATGACTGCTGCTGCTGCTGCTGTTGCTTCCACTGCAGCTCCCTAAACCGCTGTCGGCAGCAACTGCTAGGCGAGTAAGCTGCCCAGTGATGCTCCTGCTGTTTGATTGATTCATGCTTCCTTTCCCTGCCGCAGTTCGCCGTGCGTTGCCCTTGTCTGCCAGAGAGTACATAGCAAGGTCCGTAATATTCTGACATCCGTATAAGTTCAGTGCTCGAAGACGGGGGCAATGATCCGCCACCACCATAACACTCCGATCTGCTCACCACAAAGGTCAACGTTAAAGCTTTTCCATTATCGATTGGAGAGACCTGTACTGAGGTACCGTGCTAAGATTGAACTCAAGTTCGTTGCCCAAATCGAGTACTATTCTTCAATATTATTTGGTTCATTTCATATATATATTAATCATGGAATAATATTTGTTTATTGGTAGGATAAATGAATTATAATATTTACTACATTAAAATTCATTTTTCCTATCAATCAATCACATATTGTCCATTCCAAATATATGATTGAGTCTCCCATATACACGACATCTCAAACGATACGAAAAATCAATTGTTTATAACTTTCCATGGAATTTATTCTTCTTATCAATCACAATGTTAGAGCGGAAGGAGACCAAGGAGCACAAAACCGGGAGGTACAACCATAGGGACTCAATCTAGGGCACGGCCAGATGCCCGATAATTTTCTACAGCATTTTGATACTCATATGGAGTCAACAACGGCAGGAGCGATGGTTTCTTCATGCCCGACAGAAATGATTGAACAAGCTGCAAAAAAATGACAGACACCTGTGATGTGGTAGCAGCCGCACAAGTCGACAACCCCTAAATTTGGACAACCAAGTGCAACTGCTGTCACTCCTCTGTCCGTGATATGCTCACACCATCCTACGTTCAAATACTGTAGTTCACTGCAACCAGCACCTAGAGCCTGTGATATCAAAAAGCAAGACCAGGCGAAATAGAAAATTTAGTTAGCAGTTTCAGTCGCCCACCTCAACTTCATTGTACGACAAACGGTACTCAAAATTCCCTTTGAAGACGTACCTCAACAGGAACAGAAGAAAAAGCCCAATTTACAAAGGCAGAACGCGAACAAAAGTGATATGCGACTCGCAAAAGAACATCAGATAGTTGATTTTATTCGAGAAAACTCAGAAACCTGAATGACGAAATCTGTATTATTTTAAAACTGAAACCACAACAAAAATAAAGCAGAACTGACCATATCAGCACAACAAATAAGCATCTGCAGAACTGAATAGTTTACCATCAAGGCGTTATCCAAACCAGCATTGTAGCACCCGCAAAGATTCAGCTGCCTCAGGGAAGAGCACCTTCCAGCCAAAGCAACAAGACCAACCTCGGTGATCCCTGTGCAACCACTCAAATTTAACTTCTCTAGTCGAGTACAACCGCTAGCCAGCGCCAATAGAGACTCATCCGTAAGCAGTGTACACCCGGTCAAGTCAAGCACTCTCAATTCATGCAGATTCCTTCCCAGAGCCTCAATTGCTACGTCAGCAACCAAGCACCGACGTAGATTGCAGACCTGAACTCTTGAAAATTTTGGAGCCAATGACCGTACAAGGTTGCTAACGTTGCTACCACACCTGCCACAAAATAATAAAGTGTTTTAGACGTCATGTCATACAGTTGCGGAAAGAATGCAATGTCCTTACCTTCATACGTTTGATAGTTGAACTACGCAGATTTGAGATCTGTCACCGACTCTGACAACTCTGAAACTAGAGAAAGGATTTCACGTGACACAACCCTTGCGCATGGACTTTAAAAACAATTAGGAGGGAAGTAGTGAACATGGAAGCCATATATTATACAGACGCTATGCGTAGATTTGACTCTTCCAACCCACCATGTTTCTCCTAGGTGACATTTTGTATATTTTTCTACGACAAAGCCATATCATTGAAAAAAATTTGAAACTCGTCTAGTATGTTCCTTGAGCTTAAATCCATGACACCTCACCCTGAACAAGTGTCTCGGACAATGATCGACACAGCCAAACTGAAAGACTAAAAGACATAGCGTTTAGTATTTTAGACCCAAAGTTCACCAATGAAAAAATCCGCTGAGTTCATTAGACCGATCCAGAAAGCAGAATAATAAAAGAGAGAGTGCTCTTGCAAAGGACACGGTGGGTGAAAAAGATAAGAGATGATGTTGTTTGACGTAGTAAACTTCTTTGGTTTCGCTAGTAAATAGACCTATACAATTATGAGTATCATCTGTTCGCCCGCTGTACAAGGTGCGTTGTATATCCAAGGTTAGCAGATATCATCAAGTTTCAACCTAGAAGCCTTTCAACCTAGAAGCCTTTCAACTTGATGTCTCACTTATGTAAGAGAGTATGTTATGAATCTGTCACGTACCAGCAAAATGAAAGTTCAACAATTCCCAAATGTAAAGAATCACGCCACGCAGTGCAAACTCCACTAACAACCACAATTGTGCGGTAGTCTACTAGGCCCATAATACGCATGAGCAGCTCCATGGGCAGATCTGGCCAGTTTGAATCTCGATCCTCTCCCACAACTTCTTGGCCATCATCAATGGATCCAATGCGTCCTTGTACTAGTCTTTTCCACTTTTGTTGCAAATCCCGTGGAGTGGACTCCATTTCCTCATCCTCGGAAGTCAAAAAGCATGGTGACAGACCAGTGCGATCATGTCCAAAACCTTCTCTCATAGCCATGTTCTCCATCGCAACAACTCCTTAGCCTCGGCTTCTTGCTATTGAACGCACAGCAGTTTAAATCTGTACGCATAAATTCAGGTTGTCAGTATCTAATCATCACCAAATCACACGACCTCAAAGAAAAAAAATTTGAGTGAGATCGAGGCAGTTACGCAAAATGGAAGAAAATAGTTTGTCACACTACCAGAACATTTAACAGAAGCAGAAAGCACCGAAGATAACACAAGCCAACAAAGCAAATTTTCTCACAATTGCACACTTCGTTCAGCGAGATTCCAAATTCGTTCGTTAATCATTTCAGGAAGTGCGGCAGAACACAACACCACCACCACAACAACAACAACAAAAGATGGCCAAACTTCTCAAAAAAACTACCGAAAATTCATTCCTCGAAGTGGTGAATGAACGCATGCACGCACGCTTCTCTGCGCCGGCTGTATAAAACCCCATAAGAGAGTATCTCCACGGCAGACCGTACATGAGGTCGACCGGCGCACAGGACGAGGCGCTAAAGCCGTTACTGGTGGCACGCTCGTTGCTGCGACCTAATCGAGGCTTTTCTCGAGGCAGTCGAATCAGTATCTCTTCGTCTCCACGTACCCTTGAAAAAAAAATCCCAACGTAAAAACAAACCCCCTCGTAACGAACCCCAACGCGACTGTAAGCGCAATTACAGCATAATATAGTGCATCAATTCCAATCGAGATGCAGTGACAGTTCTCGTTACGAATCGACGGAATCGAGTGTCTTGACTAGGAACATCTCGTTTTCAGCGGTGGGACACGAGTAGGAGCTTCCATGACGAGGAACCTACTTCATGCATGTCGTACTCACTTCGTTAACTACGGAAAGCTTCCAGAATCAACATCGTGATTCCAATACTGTCACCACCAGCATGTGACAGCGCCCGGTAGTTACCGAACCCGAACAACAGGCAACCATGAATACCTGACGACCCACAGATGTGACAGGAAATGTGCTGTACATACATGCTTATGAGAGGTTTCGCTCAGAATATTTGTCGCGAATTGACAAGCGCAGCAGTCGCCTCATGGAACGACTTGGTACACAAATGTTTCTCTCCCAGAATCGGAAACGAAGAATTGCAAGCACTGATCCGCCAAGCAGAGGATGGAGAAGAAGAAAAGAATAGTTGGCGTGAACAGCCCTATTTTTCAACAGCAGGATGGTCGCGACGGAGGAAAGCCGATGGGTCAAGTCAATAGAAACTGATGAGCACATGGAGCACATAAGATCTGCTAGAATTGTGGGCAAGGCAAGTGTTTCCAGAATCCTCTTCTGTTTCCCTCCGACACCAACCAGCTCTGGGTACAGACCGCACAGACCAAATGGGCGACCGAACTCAACTCAGAAACAGGGAAAATCCACCCCTTCCATGGCCAACACTCATTCCTCTGATTCCGTCAGCGGTTGCTAACAGGCCCCCTCACAGCAAAACGAGCCCGGGGTGGCTCCAATGTGCGCTAAAGTATTGACTGAGAGCAGCGGATGCCAAATTAGGACAAACAGGGACCAGGGTGGGCTCCTCGACTGACGTCAGGTCAGCCAAAATACGAAACCAGCAAAGTGAACAGGCCCGCGCGTTTCCCCTGCCTCACTATGTCCAGATTCTCTACGATTATCGAAACCTCAACAGAGTTTTTGCTCATAGAATCTAACACCGAAATCCACTACAGCTTGGCGCAGGACGCAACGTGAAGTTGGTAGGGGATCGCAAGAAGCGTGAGCAGAAGAGCTGCGGGAGTACAAAAGCTATTCACTAACAGACAAGCGGCCACATCGAAAGGCAGTAAAGGCACTCGTCTTCGCGGCGTACGCGCCAAGTCTGCTCGCACAGCAGAATCGGTTACGGCTCGCACAGAATAATTTAGTCCATCTTGGAGGCGGATTGCACAGGGCATGCGGCGGACTGCAGTGGTGAATATGAGCAATAAAGCAGGTCAAAGTCGGGCAGGCAGGAACATTCTTTCCAATCAGTCAGAGAGAGGCTCCCAAAGCTCCAACGTGGGGACTGCCTTCCATGACGCCAAAAGCTGGAAAGAGGATCGCGACGCGCGCGAGAAAGCTTAATTCGGGAAAAATAAAAGCCCCCACTCAGCGCAGCGGCATAAAGCAAATTATCACCCTCAAGACGACTTCAGAGGGCGATTGATTGCCCAGAGGCCCGAGAAGCCAAACAAATCACACCGAGGAGCCCAACCAGCCCCAAGAGCCTGTCTCGCTCGATGGCAAGAACTGCCCCGAGCACGAATCAAAACCCCACTGTCCGATTTCACATCATCAGCCCTACGCTCGAAAAGAAGGGAGGGAGCACACTCAAGAATCCACCATCACCTGCACCGCCACCGCCACCATGAGAATCGGGTGCGCAGTCACCAGATTTTTCCCCGATTTTCGAACCCCGGCCTCGTCTCGCATAAGAAAGAGCACAGCTCGACCCGCAGCAGCACCTCCATCACGACACAATCACGCCACTTCGCGGTCGAATCAACCCGCCACAAGCGTGGACAAGCGAAAAGTAACTCGCAAGGCAAAGCAGACACGAAGAAAGCACGCCTCGGAGGCGCAGCAATGCCGAAAAAGCAACAAAAGCGACCCGGCGGGGCAGCGCGGGCCCGGGCCCGGGCAGGGCAGGGGCGTCGACTTGGCAGGGACGAAAGCCAAGTAAGGGCAGAGAAAGGCCGAGGCGGTCGAGTCGAGCGTGGGCCGGAGAGGGGGAACTGGAGGAGAATCGAACCAGTGTTGAAGTGTGCGGGGATGAGCTGGACGAAAGGTGCCACGTAGGTAGAAGCCACCTCAGCTGACACGTCGTCAGCCCGGCTGCCCGACCGACAGAGGAAAAAGGCGCAAAAAGGCGAGAGCCAGGATAGAGGCGAGTACACTTGGATGGCGCATGGGTGGCGTCAGCACGGGCAGGCCAGAGAGCCCGTGCCACGCGTCTCTCTCGCCACTTGTCCACATGGACCGTCCACTCATTGGCCCTCCCCGTCTCCGATCCTCCGTCCGTGCTTCGCAAATGATTACTTCGATTTCTCTACTATTATCTCCCCATTTAATCATTCACGAATCAGTTGACGATCCTGATTTGGTCCCCACTCCAGCCAAATGTATTAAATCGGTATTGCTGTAACACTAATCCACCATTATACCTCCCAGAAATTCGGTTCACAAGTCTGCAAACAAGGAAAACTCCTTTCCAAACATCTTACACGAAAGTAATGCAGATTTAATAAGGTTTATTATCCTCCATTCCTCACTCCAATTTCAGAGTATCTGGAGTGTTTCAAGTATCAGCTCCTGTAGAGGAGCAGTATAGTGTTGATTCATGTGAAGGGAATCGACTTCACGGCAGATTTTTGTTTCTAACTTGCTCTCTGACCTCACCCCTTCGCCCTTCTGAACCCAGGGACAAGGTCGGTCTGTCCATGCCTTCGAGCCTCTGTATTGTAATTGTCTGGGTGCGAGGCAACTTCGTCAGGCGGTGGTCTGGACTTTATAATTTGTTGCTGAAAGAAGAAAACTGAAAGAGAAAGAAGACTTCGAAGATTGTACTGCAGACATTTGGGAACATGGTGTGTCGAGCCCCTCCAACTGGGATCAGCAGAACCCATCGGTGACGCTCGTGTGTGGAGTGTGGAAAGGGTGGGAAACTGTGGGCGCCCAGGGAACTTGCATCTGGCCTCAGCCTTCGGAAGTTTGGAGGGTTTAGGTTCTGACTCCACTTCCTCCGCTCCTGATTTTGTCAACATGACAAAATTGGTGGAATGGATGTGAGGTGATCTAATATGATGGAGGGGGCTGATGCTACGCCCAAACATCAACACTGTGAAAAATGTGCCTTACTAAACCTGAAATGACTTATGCTTCTACGTCCATTTATCTATATATTACATCATATATAATATATATGGAACTTGCAAATTCTCTCCGTAGAACCATAATTATATGTTACACATGTTATCTTAATTGGATATACTAAAGTGATGTCCATGTTACATGAACTGATATATCCCAATGCTCTCTCTGAATATTGCTGAAGTCTGTATCACGATTAGTTACAGTTGGTTTGGTCCTACTACACTAACTCTGACTTCACTCGGATCCAATGGAATTCATACCAAAGTAGGTTTTATTTGACATATATATCTTTGTTTTCCACATGATACATCAAATCCCTCTAAATACTTCACATCCCTATTAACATGATTAGTAAATATCATCCACACCTTGAATGAGGAACAATTTACATGGACCTTTTTGGTATCACCACTCGCTTGTGACTGATGAAGCTACATATCAATTAAAAAAAAACCTTCATGCAAAGTAAAGCAATGAGCCCGCAACTTTGCTAGAACAAGAATCTGGACTAGTCTCAGTGAATGTTATGATTGGCAAGATCCAAAAACAGAAAGTGTAAAGTATATTAAAAGTGTTTATCTACAAAGGTGGATTGTACTTCTTTTGATTAATCAATGAGGAAAAAAAAGATGAAAATTTACGTCTTACATGGAAAGACAAAGGATTTCTAGAAATCAAAATATTCCATACATCCGAATTCTACCAACATTCACATCTCTTGCATACATAAAATTCTAACTGCACTCATTAATAGTAAAAACAGTAAAGATACTGATACATGTAGATATTATTTGTGTTACATCCTGTAGATTATATGTGAATTACTCCAAGTTATATGTTTTTTTAACCAAATCTCACACCACATATTCAGAACTTTCTTGTACAATGATGTCACAAAAACGTTTCATGAATTATTTTACCAAATATTTTTAAGCTTGAAAATATGAAAGATTGAAGATTCATCATATGTATGCTGATATACAACAAACAATACTGAATTAATTCAAATCTCTCGAAAGTTGAATAATTTTTATTGAATAATTTTCATACGCAAAGTAAATGCTTGAATTTACTAAAATTCCAAAAAATGTAGATTTTCAATCAATGTTTAAAACCTATCTAGAGCCAGAAATTTATATTGTATTTACAACTTGACACCTTCATTGACCATTGTAAAGTCTTCGACATGATATTTATTGTGATTTATATAATCTGTACAATATATTACATCCACTACAAAACTGTTACACTGCTTACACATTTACAAGTTAAGACAATCATGATGAGTTAGTGTTGTAATGAGACATGGGAGAAAAAATTGTACTTATAATGACATTTTTTTCACACCAAATTGTACTGAAAAAAATTAAAAAAAACGTTCAATGATAAAAGGATAATACGAAAATATTATCACCCACAAGATTTTCTAGCATATGTAATATATACTAGAAAATAATTTTATATGCAAAGTGTTATTAAATATATTTGTATTGTAAGAAGCATGATATTAAGACTAATATTTATTCAAAATTATTACATATTTACTTCAAAAAAATTTAAAACTATTATTGCATTTCAATCATAGTTCTTATTTAGCAAACTCTTTTAGCATTTTATCAAAAATATGAATGATTTTTTAAGTTCATTATTGGATAGTTTCACATGAATGAGTGTGCTTTATATTTTAAACTATATGTATATATGAAATAAATGAAACACTGAGAAGTTTAAGGTTAGTTGCCTGAGAGATATTTAATTTTCATATTTAAAAAATTGATTATTATTTTCTTATCTAATATCTTTCTAATTATATAAATATTATCAAAATATCTATTCTATTCTAATCTATTATTTTAAAAAAAATTCATTTTTTAAAGATATAAAATATCATCGTAAATCTATCATCGTAAACAAAATCTATGCTAGCATTAATACATATTATCATTTTACTTTACCTTCAAGCAAATGATTTTTTTGAATGATACCGAATATTAATCTAGATATGTACATCAAAGTTTTAATATGTTCAGAAAAATCTCTCAAGAACATTTAAAATAATCATTTTTACAATATGACTTATATACATCTGTTACATATTTCTTGCTTAATTTAAAGTAACTTGTGAAATTACTAAACTCCGTGTATGTTAATATAATTAATATATTTCAATTTATCCAGCTATATATTAAGCAATTAGTTCAATTTTATCTTATGACATATTGAATCAGTGCCACGTATCATTTGTTTTATCACATTTTTGAAAGAAAAGAAGTGAAAAAGAAGTAGATTGACAAATATCAAATCAAATCAATCTCCAATCACAAACCAAACATTCTAAATTTCATCCGATTTATGTTAGATAAATCAAAAGAAAAAATTGTTGTCAAATTGATGGTTGATAGTAGATTTATACTATAATCAAATTTCAAACACCACTTTTTATATCATCAAAGTAATTTACTGTAGTGAATTCTATAAATAAAAAATTAGTATCACACTTGATTTTGTAATGTTGAATTTTGGATTTAAAAACTTCATAAATTTCAACATTTATTCAAATTTATATTAATTTTATTTCAAATGGTATATAGAATAAAAACTAAAAAACTTCAATTCGCGACATGGATAAAGCATAAATGCATTATTTGAACGTGATCCCTCGGGGAATGAACTGGAGACTGTGACAACAGATAGTCAACAGTGCCCACGGAGATATTTCACAAAGACATGGCGAATAAATTCGCGAGAAGGAGAGGTGTACAGTTTCGTCAGCCTCACGCCACTACGGAGTCAAAGCCGTGAGAGGTCAACGTGGCCGGACTTGCAGAAAGCCGAGTGAGGACCATCGGGCTTCGGCCTACAGACACCGGACTCCGACAAAAGGAAGGAGTTGCTTTCCGGGCGAATGGACAGTGCTTGGGCTTGGGCCTGGGCCTGTGCTTGGGCTTGGGCTTGGGCTTGTGACAGCCTGTCGCAAGTATGCGCCGGCTCGCTGGACCCTACGCTTGGCCCTACTGCATTCCGCAACGGATTCAGCATTCGCTCTTCGCGTGCTTCGCCCAAATCCACACCTTTCCTCTCACCAGACTTTCCTCCTCGTGTTTTAGCTCCTCTCGTGAATCAAAGATGGCATTTGATACTGTAAGTGTGAGGAGCAAATGAGTGAAGGGAAGGGGGTTGGGTGCTAAACTGCCTGCCAAGATGAGAATCACGAGAAGTTGATTAATTCGGCGCAAGGCTTGTCCATTGTCAGCCCTAATTTTCGGGAGAAGGGTGAAGGAGAATAAAGGTCAGGATGCATGCAATGATGGGAGACGTACGACTGTTACCTGATCAGGTAGTGAAATTAACGACCTTTGGTGTGGAGAGAGGTTGTAGAATCAACAGGAATTGTGCATTGATATTTTACTCGGTACTTTCATCCGTAAGATTGAGGGCTTACCGGCCACCAATATTTGGCCAGACGGCTTAATTCATTTGAATATCGAAGGGAAATTAGTTGCCAGAACCCGATGTCACGGCCTGGTTGCAGGCTACGATCAGTTGTAGAAACCTTACAGTTAGGTAGGGGATTTTCTCGCAGTACGACCGCTGGCTGTTCGGTGGATAGAGTTAGTGCTGGTATATACCGAGCACCGGGATTCATTTGTGGCTCAGAATTCTTAAATCGGGAGACGTGAAGAAAACGTGCCACAAGCTTGCGAAAACGCCCTGAAGCAGCGACGCATATCATCGCGCAAATCTGGATGCGCGGGCTCGAGTGTTCCGGGAGCAGCCGCCTTCAGGTCGTGCACAGATACGGCTTCTCGTGACATATATCCTGTTTCGGAAATCTAGGGAATCTTTGCAAATGTGCAATCATTGACAAGCGCAGACAGAGAAAGCCCTAACCGTGCTTTAGACTTATTTGGAGCCTTGCTGCTTCTGGGGACTTTCCCCCCCCACCCCCCCCCCGGTGCTGACTTTTCAAGTCAACCCGCGAGGTCGGTAATGGAGTCACAGGACTGCTCTCGCAATTGTTTCCGGACAGAACAGCCGGAATCTCTGTGCTAGTCGATCACCAGGATGTCGTCGTTCTGCTACTCCAAGCTATACGTCTCACGTTCTCCAACTTGAACGCCAAATTATACCAGGAGATGAGACTTTGCAGGATCGAAACGAATTTTCCTATAATGTCAGAGGAGAACATAATGATAAGGATCACATCGCGACGATTTCTCTGTGGTATCTTTGTCTGAGGACAAGCTGGTTGCTGACGCTCTGCCTGCCATACTTGCCGGAGCTTCTGCAAGCAGTTTGTTGAAGATGAGCGCTCGTATCCAAACTGAGTTGAACCATAGACAATTGCATCAGAGAAGGAAAATGTGTTAAACAGGATAATGTCCTTTCAAATCGTCTTTGACGACCTCATAAAGGCGATGTCAATTGGATTTTGTTGACCAGGGTCGACCAAAGTTTTCTATATCATGGTGTATTATACATCATCGAACGCATAGAGCGATAAAATTGAACTCCTAAAGCCAAACTTGCTTTGCATTGCCATACATCACGGTAGCAGCAGAAACGATAGTGTCTGGGTCGACTATCGGTACCACAAATTTGACAAGTATGAAATTCAATTTCACTATAGAAGTACTAGTTCCGGATTTAGTATGAAGCTCAGCCAATCGTGTCTTACTTCCACTTTACATATGGACCGAAGCGTCGAAGTAACTGTGTTTAATGTACCATAACAGGAAACTGACTTCAGTTTTTAAGGATTTCTTCGACGTTGAATCTCTGCAACGACTGTACTTCAATTGCCCCTGAAGTTTTACAAACATTCCTACACTTTCGAATCCAACCATTCTTATGTCGGTGACACGGACAACGATAGCAGACCAGTGCTAGATTTCACCCTAATGTTCTTAGTGATTATAGGACACGGACCGGCCCATGTTTTCGTTATCACATGAATTTTGTAGTGGGTTTGACCTGCTTCCATGCGAGTACACAGCACCAAACTTGGTCTTGATGCTGTGCTGTTGTGTCAAGAATCTAGTTCGGAGACCTGCTGTGCATATGCTAACAGTGTAATCTAGAATGAAATACCTGCTGATGTGTACTTCCTGGCAGTCGGAAGTAAGAGCGACGGTTCTGATGGAATTCATCATCGACAAGCTGAAACTTCTCAGCTACGAACGCGACTTTTGTTTCTCGAGGTGAGCTGCTTCTTAACTTCTTCTCAGAGGATTAAAGCTCGTGACACAACCCTCCACACCAATTCGTAATTTAAGGCTGCATGTTGCTGTGGTTTCGGCTAACTCATTTGATGAGAACCTTGTCATCGTTGTAGAGACAATTTATGAAGATTAGGCATTTCTAAGCATATCGTCTCTTTCCAAAGGTGCATTTGCTCCAATGTTCGGACTCTAACTCTCTGTATCTGTTTGTAGAAAGCCACCCTGGCCTCGGTTGCACAAGCTATATTTTGCTCTGCCTGCTCACAATCGCAACGAGCAGTTTTTATACTTCATAAATATCGTAAGTCCTCATCACTGATGGGAATCCAGTCACTGCAAGTAGGAGAATACTCGCTTACTCTTACTTTCAAAAGAGTCGTTTCTTTCAAAAGTAAATAAAATACCCCGTTCATTTCTGGAATTTCTGGCTCAAAAGATTTTTTTACGTACATGTCAGACGTTGCTTGCAAGGTAACTGACTATTCATATCCACAGTAGCAGAAACGCTTTCGTGCACAAAAGTGTTGTGCCGACACAGTCTAATGTGTTCTGCTGGTGAAAATTGCTTTCAAGACGTCCTGGCTGCTGAGAATAATCGGTCGGAACTTTGAGACCCCAAGTGAGGCTGATGATCCCAACACAACCTGCACGAACATATGTAGGTACAAAGTTCTCTCGTCCCGTGTATGACATAGATGAGTGGTAAAAACATTTTTAAAACTGCTGGCGAATCATATTGAAGGTTCGCTTGACTGATCTTGTTTTGCTGTATGGAGGATTATCGAAGAGTTATCTTAAGACCTGATTGTTGGAGCAAAGTGGACACTGCTTTATGCTCTATATAATTCGGTTTCTAATTTTGTAGAGTCCTGCAGCGGTGGAGCTGAGAGATCTTGGCTTTGCTCCTCCCAGCTGGCCTCCAGCTAAATTGAAACAGGTGACACTCTCGATGCAGTGGCAATTGGTCATCCTCTTTTCCGGATACACTCACGACTCGATATGTAGGTACATCAAGGATAGGATATAACTTCAGCGTTTCTGAATAATACCTCGAATACATCAAGAATGTCAAATGTCGTCTGGAAATAAACTCTCTCGGGCAATTTTTGTTGAAATCGCATGTTTACTTTCAGGTTAAACGCTGAGTTTTTTCCAATATTTTATCCTCGGAAATTATCTTTTAGTTATTTGAACAAACGTGTGATAAGATCGTAAGTGGAAGTTTCACGTGTATGAAAACAACCTTTTGAGGAGGCTGAGGTGTGAACCCTTAAATGCAAACTGAATCCTTGAGTGAGATCTCTCTTGACAGCTTGAAACTTCTACTCTTCTTCCCGATTTTGGAAATGGATAGGGACATGGTGATGCGGTTTGCAGTGTTCTTGATGGGTTGACAAGTCTCGCGTTGGAAATCAGAAAATTCCAGTTCCAGCCACCTCAAAATCCATGTGACAAGTAAGCACCTTTCTTTATCCTTTAAAATGGTTCTTTGCAACGCAACTGATTAAGAAACCAGAACTTTGCGATCTTTCAGATTATTAGTATAGTATGTGTCAAAGAATTGAAGGTTAGGTATAGATATGAAGCAATAGTTATCCTGGTGGCTTCAATGAAGGTCATTTTTCTTCTCACAATCAATGTCATCAGATCAACGAGTATTCTAGACTTCGTATGCGTGGAGGCATAAGACTTCGAGACTCTACGTGTCAAGCTCTTTTGAACTCGTGAAAACTACTTGCTAACTTTGCCCAGGTCAAGAGAAAGTTTGTTCATTCTCCTCTATGGTTCTATATCTTCAGTTACCCCGAGGAGTCACCAAAACTTGGCAATGACCGCGTGGAAACAACTGATGAGGTACCAACACCAACATTGTCATCTGTACACAAGAAGCAGTCATGTATACTGGAGAGATGGATTTTTCAACTCTCGTATGTCACATACAAGACTCGGTGTTCACCAGCCTAACGAGTCTACAACTACAGAAAATTGCTAACTTGTATAAACTTCAGTAACTTGTTAACGTTCACTTCGGGCAGCTATATGTGCCAGATTCCGAGGATGCTGAAGCTTCTCGAGTGGATGAATTTACTCCTGATCTTGACGAGAGGAAATCCTCAGACTCGTGAGTTACACTCAAAGTTTGTGCACTTGTAACGCTTGGTTGTGATTGCGTTCTCTTTTGAACTTCTAGAATCAGTCCAGCTTGATGCATGTAGCACGATCGACGATGCTCATTCAGCACAAGATATTTTCTTCAGTTCTTCTATCTCTTGTTACTGCAGATCATTTGTAGTAAGGTCCAACGTAGATCCCCAGAAATGGAGACTAGAGCTTGAGCGTGTGGCTCCGCAGCTTCGAGTTTCAGTGGTAAAAGCACACGCTTCAGGGGAAGAAATTATTCAACACATTCCCCATAGTTTAAGTATTTCTCTTTAAAAAAGTACGATAGACAGAAGTAATCAGCATCAAATAATGAAAACTGGAAGAGGTCGGCATCGCATGTTTGCTCGGGCATTCCCTGTGATCTTTGAGCACAAAAGTTCGTTTTCAAAAGTCCTGAAATTGAAGGCAAGTAAGAATGTGCTTCCATTTTCTCCAGTAAGAGAGTCAGTAGCATTGATCAGGTTTCGTCCAGCAGCGTTCAAATGCTCCAAGAAGAAATATTCTACTAAATGCAATTCTCACAGGAGAACAATCGAGGCCTTTAGCTCCGAACGAACTTCAAGCAATGATATATCTTATAATTAAATTAGTGCGCGTTTGGATGGTAATTACAGGTAGCGGACGGCAAGGACTGGCGGGCTCATCTGGAGCAAGCCCATAAACTAGAAGGGGTAATTCAGAGAGTCTTGACGTCTTGCCAAAATTTGTGGGATAAGCACGAATATGTTTCTATTTGTTTTACCTTCCATGACAACATCTTCAATATACACCGAGACTCTTGAAAATAGGAGATTGAGAATCATCTTAAACCTGCCATCCGTTGTTGGACATGGAAGAAAATAGACACAACTAGAATAATCTGCCTTAAGAAAGATCTGTTGACACCGTGCAGTCAAAATCTTACGACGTCATTGAAATCCTTTCACACTCTCGTTTTGCTTCGTTCGTCTAGATGTGGATAGAGCACTGCTCAAATCGAAGCTCTTGTAGGCTCACTGATGATACTTTTTACTTTAACAGGACATGTTAGCGTCTCTCACGAGCAATCAGGACCAGCTGGAAAGGTGTGACTCGTTCATCAAACCCCTCAAGAAAGCGTGGTTTGCAGCATGTCATGGACAGAAACCATAGTGAACTTTGAAAGTCCCTTCAGATTCCCCTTCCCTACTGTCTACATACCTCAATAGGCTTCATCAGGCTCAGGAGTTTCGTCACAAACAGAGCATGACCTTGACCAACAACATTATTGCAGAGTGGAAATGGATGTGACTTCGGCTTTGGAAAAGCTTGAAAGCCGTGAAAACTTCATCAACGCCCAGTTTGAGCCTCTGGTCTGTCCTAACAATGATCCTGTTTATATCATAGGTCAACCTGCAGCCTAGTCGCGTCTCTGCATCCTGCAGTTTTGGACTTCCAAATTCTATTTGACAACGAAATCATCTTTCACGAAAGATTTTCTATGGATTTTTCAGGCAGCGGAGTATGCCGCGGTTAAATCTCAAATATCAGGAATCCAGGAGGTAGTAACATTTTCCAAATGCAGAATTTGAGAAAAGTAACAATGCACTATAACTTATTCTAATGCCGGATCCTCAACATTCGGAATCGATCATCCATTAGTATTCACACCTACGTCACCTCCACATGGGCACAGTTCCCGTACTCGTAGATATCATCTCGCCTTCAATATGATCTAAATTTCACAAGCTACGTGGTGGGGTAATGTTTAGACCTCTGAGATTTTGTTTTCTGTCCTGGAGACATCTTCATTTGTAGCAATATGCATGGTGTCCATTTGTGCACTATGGATTGAGCTCATGCGGATTCTTGTATGAAATGAAACTTCCAGAAGCACAGGAGAAGCCTGGAGAATGTGGCCAATCTGACACAAAAACTCTCACAAATTTCCGATCAGCTCGATCACGTCAAGGTACGACGACATTTGGATATTTGCATGTGATCGAACGGCAATCATTCAGATTCGAGCCATAATATCATTCATTGGAAAGACGGAAGACCAGGACCTGCTTTGAAATCTAAAAACAGAGTGCATTACATAAGATGCAGATGCTCAGCAGACTTCAGCAGCCCTGCAACTGACAAGTGTATGCAACAGCAATTGATGGTGGAAAAAGGAAATGTGATATCGGATCTTTCACCACTAGTTCTTATGAAATCGACGACCCAGAAGCTGAAGGTGACTCCTTACGCAAGCGATGTGCCAAACGAAGAATGTTCTGATTGGCCCCTCTCCTCACCCAATTACGCAGAAGATTCACTTTTCTCTTTTGCAAGGCCCCAATCCCCAGTAGACCGCATCAGAGCACGGCTGCACATGCATTCACCCATGCATAAGAATATGCACGTGAAATCCGAGAGAAGACCGCGTTGACTCATGCCTGCTATTTACTCTCACGTAAACTCTCGTGGCTAAACAGGCAGAAATCCGAGACATGGAGCTTCAGAATGGAGTACTCAAGAACTCTCTCCTTCAGGTATAGCATCCTCGTAGACCAGAATGAGAAGTCTTCCCTTGTTGTGGCCTTAGACCTTGATATGCATATTGGTGACTACAAGCCTGTTTGTTTCAATCCAAGTACTGTAGTATCATGCATCACAGCACTCCATGTTCGGATCAAAAAATTAGTCATCCCAGCAGTTCCGGTCGGAATCTGTTTGGTTTATCTGACGTTCAAGGTCTTGGGTGAGAATAGGCAAGCTTGAAGCAGGTGAGAAAGGGAGATGACGAGCAGCCTACTGGTGCCTGTGATTTTCAGACCTAGATTCGTAGCAGCTCAACGCTCTGACTTGATAAAGTCGAGAGTATCGAATCCAACTGAACAGTGCTGTGAGAACAGTCTTGCAACGACGCGAGGACAGTGTGTAGTATTCACCACCAAGGATCAGTACATTTAGATTACGCATGTTCAATTTCACCGGGGCCAAAATGTTTCACGTAGGACAGTGGAAAGTCAAAGAGGATGAAATTAGCGTTCGAAAAAATCCACAGATGCGACGTGAAAGCGTGGAGGCATCTAAAATTGACATATACAATATAGTGAAAAGGTCCATGTCGCATGATGTGGGTGACAACAGCATAACCTACTTTGTGAAGTACAAGTCGGCTCCAGAGGCCCAGTGACTTCGAGAAAGTGTTCAGTTTCCTTTACTTCCTGGTAAGCTAAGGGTGATTTCAGAGCCCAGGGCTCATTGATTATTTCGCGATTGGTGGATGGTATACAACGAGAGCAATGACTCAGGTCTGAGAGTAGGAGTCTAATAAGCAAGAATCTCATACCCATTTTCGCTCTTAGGATTTGTTCCTCAATTTCCGTTTTCTAGCAGTGAACTCGTAGAATATTCTCGAACTTAGAGTAGAGGTGGAAGTTTGACTTTTTGGAGCTCGTGAAGTCAGTCATGCTCAATCGGGACATGCATAAAAATTCCATAACATAGAGTTCAGGGTGACAAAGTTCATGTTCGAAATTCTCTGCAACGAGCGACTCTTCGCTGCTTTATTTTGCCACGATGGTTCCGCCGATGAAGATGTACTGGACATGGATTCCGCTGTCAGAGTAATTGACATGTATGAAACCTGCTTGGGCTGCCTAATCTTCAAAACTCAGGAACTAAGTGCAGAAAAGTCTGAAAAGACTCTGAAAAGTCTAACAGTGCGTGAACGAGAGGGTGGAGGAATTTGAATCTGTTGAAAACCAACTCCAACTGGAGTCGTGGGTACAGTTTGAGAAACGTCGTACTATGTCAAAATTGAGTTGCAATTACGGAGAAAGGGTATTAACATGATATGGCTAGAAGCTAATGAAGGAGCCTTGGCGGATATCGTAACATCGACCGTTGAAAGAATCAAGTGCATCTATTAGGGGCTCTGTCGAAAAGGTTTTGGAGGCAGAGCACTCCTCAATCATGACCTCAGCTTCGAGATTGCTTGTTCTGCTTCATCATCTGAACGAAATCATAGAAAGCTGCAATGACCAAAGTCCATCAGACAACTAGGTCCAGCTTCCATTGTAACAAAACTAAACATCAACAAACAATAAACTTAAGCTTTTGAAAACTTAAAATCTACATCTCTAACAATATCGTGTTTGAAAGAACGGTTGACTTACCCGGATCGGCATCATGGGGACCCGGTGATGATTCGGGGTGATATTGGATACTCATGACTTTCATGGCAGGGAAAGTCATACCCGCACAGGTTCCATCATTCAAGTTGATGTGGGTAACTTCTACACCTTCTGGAAGAGATGCAGGATCAACTGCATAGTTGTGATTCTGCAGCGAAAATGAGAACGAGAGAAGTCAGCTCGCTAAACCTCCACGAAAGTATACTGGCTAGTTACAGAGTTGACACAAACTAGTTGAGACGAATTCTACCTGAGCACTGATTTCAACACGCCCCGTGGGAAGGTGTCGAACTGGATGGTTGCCTCCATGATGCCCAAACTTCATCTTGAATGTCTTGCCTCCTAAAGCCTGCCCTAGAAGTTGGTGTCCCATGCAGATCCCGAAGACGGGCACCTGGCCTATACATTCACGAACACTTTCAACTGCATATGGAACAGCAGATGGATCTCCAGGTCCGTTGCTGAATAAGACACCGTCGGGGTTGAGCTTCAACACCTCGGACGCAGGCCACGTGGATGGAACGACAGTGATTTTGCAACCGTATGAAGTCAATCGCCTCAGAATGTTTTGCTTCACACCAAAGTCATAAGCAACAACCTGCGCATGGAATAAAGACGGTGCACGAGATCAACAGGTAGTCAGAATAAGTTAATCATGCTCTAATGGCGACTCATCCTCAGGCCATTTAAAACTACACGCCTTTGAAGCAACGCGATCATCTAACTCAAACACATCAGAAGCATGAAAGTCCATCACGTTGGCAGCGTGAGTGACGCTACAGGCATATCTACGACCTATAATAAGCACAAGATTTGCGTGGACAGGTTTGACATCACTTACATTGAATGTATCCATGTCTGCGCTGACCTCCTTGCTGAATTCCCATTCAGTTCCAGTTTTGTCCTTCCATTGATAAGGTTCCTTGCATGAAACTCCAGAAATGAGATCCTTCCCTGAGGACACAGAAACACGAATTACAAAAATTAGTGAACTCCTCACATTCAGTTCGTTGGCACGAAAGGCAACTTTGATAAAATGAAGAGTAATCTCAGAGGGAATGAGTAACAACTAACCTACTATACTCCAATTTCTAGCCATATCTAGAATCTCTTCATCAGTTTTCGTGGTGTCCGTTGTAAGGACTCCAACCAAGCTTCCGTCTTCCCGCAGCCTTCTTGTGATAGCACGTGTGTCGATATCGGCTACAACCATGTAATTAAGACAGAAAATCAGTATAATCTGACAGCAATATAAGATGCAGGAAGAGAAAATGTACACTGTGGAGTGTCTAAGCTCGAATAAAAATAGATCATCGACTCTTATTCACACGGTGAACTGGATAACGTACTAATTCCCATGACGTTTCTCTTCTTCAAATAATCAGATAGAGGCTCTGTCGACCTCCAATTCGATACGCTGCAAGTAAACAGAAAGACACAATCCTTTCAGTAACAGGCATATAAAAAATGATGGAAACAACCACAACCACAACACTCAGTCGAAACGAGTCTGATAGGCATGACGAGCAAGTATTTGAAATCTTACGTGGCACTTAAATTTCGAACAATAAGGCCACCCAAGAAACATTCGTCCGATTCTTCATCATCTGCAAAATATCAAACAAAATGCAAACAGTCAAACAACTGCCACGGTAACTATAATACTCAAATAACGAACATCTACGAAAACAGCCTTAAAATTCATAGCAATGCGCTAATTCATCGAACTGAAGAAGAAAGACAAGAACAAATACCTGTATTGATGCCAGTGTTGCCTATGTGTGGTTGCGTCATGAGGACGAACTGTCCAGCATAGCTAGGATCTGTAAGAATTTCTTGGTATCTGCATGATGACAGGTGAGTTGACATGAGCTGCAATAGTAAAAGCCCCACCGATTTTTCAACAGGTAACCAGACTTACGAGCTCATCAATTGCAGAATCTGGACAAATTCAAAATCATCGTTGACTTGTGCCACAATTTTCATACCCAGTGAGAGATGTGTTGAACACAACTTCTCCAACTTGAGTTCCGGTGGCTCCGAATGACCTTCCACGCCACACGGTGCCATCCTCAAGTACGAGCCTCGTATCAACCGTTGTGTACGGCCTCTTCACTGCAAGTAAGAATCGAATTCAGAACAACCTTCGCTATACATCATGTGAGGAAAGTTACAAACTGGCTGTTTGCTGCAAATGTATGTGATTCCTCAACAGAGGATAATGACTTCACAATGCAGGACTAAATGAACAATGATCTCGAATAGATCAACTAATCCTGCAGTTTTATAACCTCAAAAATATCTCCTTCTTCACCAGCTATCATGTTCCAGATTAACAGAGTTGAACGGTGATTACCTGAAGTGGCGTTGCCTTCCGCGACTTGCACAGAGCATTTCACAACGGGTCTGATCGCCTTTCGTACGGAAGCTCTGGAAATCTTCTCGCTAGAAAAACTGAAAGATTTCGAGAATGCATTCCTTACAAACCCCAAGGAGATCTGAGGGCAAACGCCACTGTGGTTGTTGATTATCGCTGTCCCAGCTGGCATGATTTGCGTCGCCATCGTGAAGGACCAAGACCTGAAATCTACACAACGCGTCCTCAGCTACATAAGTTTGTCGGCACTCATTGTCACCAGACGAGACAGTGGGAATGAAAAACCTTTATTTCCAAATATCACCACAAAAGGCATCGATAAATTCATGTGATAACACTAGCGCTACGACTCGATAGCAGACACTAGCTAAACCTTGGCTCATTCACGTCAGAGTCCGTATGATGCACAGATCTACTACAATTTCAGAATATTCTTAAGTAAACCACTAATGTAGTCCGAAAATCAATCCACCCAGGCTGGAAACCCCAATATTCACCAATATAGTCGACAGATTCAATTTCAACGTCGGCTAAACAGCACCGCAAATGCAATCCAAGCAACGACGTCGCGAAGGCTCTCTTCCTTCACCTGAATGAACATGAACACGAAGAAGTCGCTCACCTGAGCCTTTAGTGGGAAGAAGAAGCAGCCCCTCTGCAGCCAACCGCTTCGAGTGAGTGCACTACGAAACTCAACCTACTCTCATCCGTCCGTCAGTGACTCAGTGACTCACTGCTGCGTCTCTCCAAAACATCCAGAACTTCGACCGAATCGGCTGCTGCTCCTCCCCCTAACCCTGCCTCCTGCTGCTACCTCGTTCACATTCCGATGCCCTGCCTTGTCTTTCTTTGCTGAGCTGAGCTGAGCTGCGGCTGCTGGTGGTGGCGGACTTGGGGGTCCAACACAGTCCACAGCACACCATTCGCCCTGCAAGGGATGCTCTCCACGGTCCAACAATCGTGCATGCACAGATTTTGGACGTTTCTGCAACTGCCCCAAAGCAGAGCACCACGCCCCCTACACTACACTACACTCATCTCTTCCGTGCTATATTACGCTTGACTATGTTCAGTGATCTTAGGACCATTTTTGCTCCTTTTCCCGCCGATTACGAGCTTTGAGTTCTTCGTAGAGAGATTCATTTGAGACGATGTCCCCGTGCAAACTTTGGCAACTTGCGCTTCGGATATTCTCCGGATGACGTGAAGCTCACCATTCGGGATTTCTCCTTAAATTTTGTTCCAAGTGATGTGCAATTTGGCTGTATGTGAATATTGGTCAGTGTTTTGGTTTGGAGCATGGGTTGCCAGGTTCTTTCTCACTATGTGGTGTATGCCCAAGTGTGTCGTTATCAGCAGATTCGTTAACTTGCAATTTGTCTCAACTTGGGGTTTAGCAGCAGTAGGTCATTCATCCGATTATTTATTCGGGTTTCGAGGTCAAGTTACGCTGTGAAGTTATAATAAACAAAGCTGTTGGTCCTGCACAATTGCGGTATTAAGATATCGCGTCCAGCTGAAGATCATGGATTTGGATCCCATGTTCAGATCTTCATTTAGTTCCTTTCTTGCATGTTCTTTAGCAACAACATCATCACTTGTTGAGTCGATGATAACACATTAAAATGAGAAATAGAATTTGATAATCTGCCAAACCCTCAGGATGGCTTATGGAAGAGAAAACTTTTACTTGTCGTCAAAATTGTAGAGTGTGATGATGTCATTTTAAATTTAGCTGAATAAGTTGGTTGTAACCCACAAACGACGGTTATGGAGATGAATTGGAAAGATCTAATGTGCATCAAAATCTTTGGTTTAAAACATGGAAGTGCAAGACAATCCAACTATTTGAAATTACTCCAACGATTATCAATAATGTTGCATACTCTCTTGATGTGACGATTTAAAAATGATATGAAATATGATACTCTAGCGAAGAGTGAAAATATATATCACATCATGCTAGTATGATAGAAATTTCAACATATAGCTAAATTACAATAAACTTGATAATCATTGATATCATATGTCAATCAATCTAACGCTAAGGAAATACATAATAAGCCAAAAACTTAAATAGCAATATCAATTATCAACTTTGTATAATTTGTATGTTTATAGATAAACTATTAAAATCGTATGACATGATAAGATTTTCTTTCAAATCAATTGATATATAATGAAAAATGTTATAATTATCTTGTAAAAAGGTCTATAAATTTGTTGATTTTGAATATATATATATATATATTCAATTTGACATTGTATGCGTTTTTTATTAAAAGGCAATATTTTACACTCATGATTCTTTCTGATAGGGTTTATTTTCTCACATTAAATATAATATTTATATAATTGTTTTTTATATCATTTTTTTCCAAACAATATAAAGAAGAAGTTTTAACGTATATTTTCTTAAATTATTGAATGAAAATTATGAAATGAAAAACAAATGGATACAACATGCAAAACTTTCATAATATTGTATAGACTGAAATTTATAAAAATGCAAATTAAGCATAAAATATACAATTTATCTCTGGATTCTGAATTTTAATTTTTGTACAACATTCACAAATGAAAATTTATAAATAATAGAACAAAATATTTTAATTGGTTCATTTTTACAAATACTATGTAAAAGAGTAGTAAGATAAATATGTACTATAAAATTAATATTATTTTTACCTTGTTGATATGAGATAATAGTATACTGAAAATAATGCACCCATTTTATTTATTTTTGGAGTCTACAAACTTATCATTAACTAAAGAAAATGAAATATCTTTAACTTCATGATTTTCTAGAATTGAGTGATTTTATTGTTAACAATTATATTTTTTGAATGTTTATAGTCATTCCATAGAGTTAAATATGTCATGAAACAAAAGTTTCATGAAGTCGAAAAACGAAAGCTCATAATACGTAGACCTGGTGGGGTTAGCTTAGCTGTAGATATGAAATACTATCATCCGTAACCTTCTGTGGGAGCTTATTCTCGAAAGATTAGAAAGGTCTTAGGTTTTAGGTTAGGATGAATGCTTCTTAATCCCAAGGATGATAACTAGCTTGGACCCAGGTCTCAATCCAAATTTGAACCTTTAAGCTCGTCTTGGCAAACCCGAAGCTATCCCCCGAGGCCGGCAGGGAGCTGAAGAAAATAGCGTATTCTGCGCTCTGCACCTTCGTGTTTGAATATTTTATATTTTGTTGTGACGTGAAATTTCTAAATGTATCACGGATATCACTAAAAAAAATTATAATTATTTACTGTCTCATAGAAAAAGAGGAAAGTTATTTTATCATGTGAGCCAATGAAAATATATCTTATGACGTTAAAGGTTTTTGAAAAACAAGATAGAGACATATGTAGCACGAGCTTGTGTCACTATAAACCTCATAAACAAAAGCAAAAAAATTATTGTGCATATTTTATTTGCATGGAATTATTGTTTAATATAAAATATCGCTTGATCACTAAATCTGAATGTTTCTTTGGTTTGATTGTTACATAAGCATATGTGAAGTAAAATTGCTAAACATCATGTATCACATTCACTAATAACTTGTTGTCCATATAATTTTAGTGTATGTGAGAGATTTTTAAAATTACTCCAGGATTATGGATTATGGATTATTTGATTATCTAAGACATTTTATTATGACTAAATTACACATTTGATCAGATATATGTTGTTCAAAATGCAATAAGCTGATAATAAATATAAAAATATATAATTCATGATAATAAAAATTATTATTCCATACTTTAGTTTTATAAACTTAATACAATTTAATGATTAAATTTATATATTTTTATCAATAAATTTTATAATGTAAATTGAAATTGAATAGAGATATATTTTAGACCAAGTTATATCAAGACACTTGATGGATACTGATATGTGGAATAATACGAAAATCATGTATTGTACTGGTAAAAATGTGTGTTTTAATTCATTAAAACATACATTATTAGAAATAAGAACAAATTTTCAATTTTTGTATACATTAGAGTAATTAAAAATAATTAAATAATAAATTTATCATATGAAAATCAAATAATTATCAAAATCATTAATGCACGTATGGTTATCTTAATGTTATTTATTTTTATTGATAGTATAATTATTTTAAGGTTTTATTTTTTTCAAAGCTTTATATTTTTTTAGGTAATGATTATTCTCTGTATTAGATTTATCATATTTAAAAAATGAATTTTTTATATTTTCATGTTGTAGGACATGATATTTAATATGCCAAAAAATCCAATTTTTGTTTTAATAAATGTGCAATTTACAACAAAAATTCACTTTCAATGTACAAATTTTCTTTCAAAAATTTACAAAAATTTTACATTCATTAACTTTCTTAGCCATATTTGATAATTTTATACTGATCATTTTTAAATGTGATTAATATGTGATCTAAAACATAATGGATTGCCAAGAATAGAATATAGTAAGTTTTTTCATAACTTTAGTATATTTACATAAAATGATATCATATATGTATTAGAAGAATTCTATATTTAATTTAGTTTTAAATGATTTATATATATTCGTATTTAAATTTCATCATTTAAAAATGTAATCCAATCAACTCATCATACATAAAAAAAAATTGCAATTTTTTTTTGGAAATATGTTATTCCTAATTTCAACCTGTTTTTATTTTGAGTGAAACTTATTTCCAAATACTAAGCAGAAATTTCAATAAAATTTGTATAGTATGAAAGTATCCTTAATCCCAACTTACCATATTCACATATACAAAAAGGATACAATTATTGATGTTTTTTTTCTTATGATATAAATATAGATATCAACGTATAAAATTTGCTTTTTGGATATTTTACATTTAAAAGAATATTATATAAATAATAATATTTGTACAATAATGTTTGAAACAAAATATTGAAATTTATATATATTTTGTTAAATATAAGACTGTTGTAATAAACAGATAGTCTTCATATATATATATATATATATGTTCAAATATAAATTAATATGATAAAGAATGTAAACACTTTACATTTTTTCAATGTAAAAAAATATCTCAAATTGGAAATCACAAACATAAGTCAGATCTTTAAAATATATTGATTTATGATTTAAATCTAACATGTACTTCTTAATTAAACAGGACTGCATAATTGATTTTGACATGTGTGCATCGTTATATATTTACAAAATAATAATTTAGGTAGAAAAGTCATGTTTATGATAACATCATAATTGTATGATTTATTGGACAAAAATCTTAGATTATTTCAATTTTATAACAGTTAGTTAGATTATTGAACCATCATGTTTTTAGACATTCAATACTATTGTAAGAATGTTTACTTTGTTTAGGTTTAGTTTTTAATAAAAAATAAATATGTATGCAATTGTTTTGCAATATGGTTTTGTTGTTATGAAACTGTTGCACAACAATTTGGATTGAAGTTTGTTTGTAAGTTCTGTATCTTATTTATAAATCTTGATCTTTACAAAAAAAGGTCATTAACTGCATTACAATAGGTAAATCTTAATTATGGCATTATCTAATCTATTGGATTGCTACATTTGTAGTGTAGTAAATATCAATTTCTGTAATCCATCTGACCAGTCTATTTTGAAATTTTATATTATGAAAATAATAAGATAATGTTTTTTTTACAAAATACTTTAGAATCATGATTTGAAATGTATGCTAAAAATAATACTTTAAAAATTCTCATTTTATTTCAAAGATAATTTCAATAGAACTTAACTATCTATCTACTTTCTAATTTTGTAGCTATTCAAAAATATTTCTTACATGTACATTCATACTTATTTTATATCGTTGGCGTTATTAAGATAATATTTTAAAAGAGAAAATCCACTTTGAGTATCAGGCAAACACGATTATGCAAAAACATAAATACATTAAAGACTTAAAATTTATTCAGTTTATTTTTTTGAAGATGGTGACGTGGATTTAGTTGTGACATTATACGAAAGTCTGCTTTGAGTTTTAAAAGTTTGAACTAAAATCTTATGATATATGTTTGCAGATCTTATACTTAAACGTTGAAAAAGGCCTTTTTTCCAACAAATTGACTATATTGAACGATCTTTTGTGTTAAAAATGGATAATATAACTTTCAGTTCGAAGTTTAAAGCAATATTTTTTTTGATCTAATATGTGATATTTTCATTTGAAATGTAAACGAAATTATTATTTCGGATATGACAAGTATATATACTAAAATATTAACAAATTAAAATAATCTAACAGAAATCGGGATTCAAGGCGATCCGGATTTTTATTGCAAAGTACACGAAATAACGGTTGTAATCATTACACAGGTTTTATGGCACTTCATTTGAGTTGCAAAATTTAAAATTTAGCTATTAAGTTTATATGTTATATACTATTATTGGAATACAATAAGTGTCCATAGAAATTGTTACTTTCAATCGTTGTCATCAGTTTTGTATCATTGAAGTAAAAATCAACTGATTGATCAATTATGTGGCAATCAACATCTGGTTGTGTTATCACTAAATTGCAAGATCTGAAATCACGTAAAAGAAAGTTCAAGATATCATGAAAAACATCAGTCAAGTTGAATATCATCATCGAATATGACTTTTTTGCTCTGAATGGTAGGTCTTTGAGTTATATTCTAAATTTCCTTTTTTTTTTCTCGTTCTGGTTTCATTCCTAGATTGATGATTCAGATTATGAAATATATGTATAAGTGTTGCCATGAGGATACTCTGACTTGGTAACTGAAGATGACGTCGGTTTCGTTCATTACATCATTCGCTATCGACTTAAATTGAATATACCCGACAAACAATTTGATTGTAAAGTATTTTAACACATCAATGATTATTCAAAGACGTAAGTATGTTCATTACATGCCCATTTTATTTCACCTCAGTTTCAGGCATTCTGCTTATTCAACGCCTGGAAAATGATGAAATATATTTGAACAGTATAAGCATGAATATTTTGCAAAGTTCTGCTGATCCTCATGTATTCCATCTGATAGCATATCGTAAGCCAAGAAGCTTATCCAAGACAATCCGTGTGCAAAGTGTTTGAAGATCTCGGTCTATCCACATTTCTGTCACCGAAGCTTCCAAGTGGGCAAAACACTCATTCCTACGAACCGATGCTCGTGAAGATTTTTCAGAACTTATAAGTCAAGGAATAAAAGCTTTTTCCTCTGGGCTGGTGTAATGAATATGTTGAAAAACACATGATTGGCCTCAACCGAGTAGTTTCCTTTCTTACGTAACGTGGTACCTACCCTTCCCTCACCTCGTAGGTCCACAGTCTACCGCAAAGTGGCCCCGGCTCCACGCCGTAAGGCCCAAGACAACGACCAAAGAGTCAAAAACCACATTCCTGCCTGACCACTCACGAATACCACGCTCCAGGGTACAAGTCAGGACCCCAAACCAGCGGACGTAGTACCGCCCGAAAGCACGGACGCGGCCGAAAAGAACAACTAGTAGTAAAAAAGAAGCAGCGCTCGACAAACTTTTTAAAAGAACGGGCGAATTCATAGCTCCTCGTAATTTGCCAGTTATTTATTAAATCCTCCAGAAGTCACCGTTATGCTCTACCTAGCCAAATTTAGATGTACTACTCTCGTTTATCCCATTCTCATTCTAAAGATCTTCTCTCTCCCAATCAGATTATCTACAGTCTTTGCAGAATCAAGGATCCTAATTGGCGTAGTCCACTCTGCCCATGTTTGATACTCACAGTGGAGTGAATTTAGTAAATTTTTCGAATCTGGTCAATGTAACTCGTCTATAGGTGAAAGACAATGTGGTGCTTTGATTTCGTTTATTTACAATATAATTGTGAGATAATATGGATATCGACATTTTCATATTGAACCGAATATACTAGATGATCTTATACCGATATAATTACTAGATTATATAATCATCTCGAGGCTGAGCTTATCCACAACTTCACATATAAAGATGATTTGGGAGTTGAGAATGGAGCAACCAGGTCATATGAAACTTAATAAAAAATGACTCCACATTTACAAGTATGTGACTGATATAAAATATCAGTCACATAAAGATGTATGCTATCGGGGCTAGCCGTTCCTACTAATCAATGGATGATTTAATGAAATATTCCCATACTTAATGTTATATTACTCGCCCGTTTGTCCTATTGGAAAATATCGTGTTAGTGAGGCTGTCGTCTCGTAAAACCCTCGAGGTTAGCTTGCATGATACGCTTGCAAAACGTCGAGTAATCGAAGAAATTGGACTAATTGTCGAGGGCACAAGTTGTTCAAGGAAATTCGACACTGGCACTCGATAACTAACAAACGGGTAATAACTGACAGGATGAGCTGTCGGGAATTACATCTCGGGGGTGCTTACTATTACAAGCCCGACAAAAAAAATCTCCCAATTAAGCTCCACTTGTTAAATATCCAGGTTGGCGCAGATCGAGCGAAGGGCTGGGCCGGTGGCGGAGGGGGAAGCGCCGGTCGCAGGCGCAGAGGCGACCGGCAAGGCAGAGCGGTCTGAAGGAGAGCCGGGGGAGGAATAACAGGGGGGGGGTCCTGGGGTCAGAGTGTCGCGAAGCGGTGATCCGGGGGAGGGACAGGGAAGGGGGCTGATGAGGTTCGGGGGAGAGCGAGTGCAGTACGCCATATCGCTATCCGGATCGCTTTATCTGCCACTTTTCGCGAGCCTTCGAGATCATCATAGCCCCCATTCGTCCGTTCCTCTGTTGCTTTGCGCGAGTTGCTCTGTCTTAGTATCTCTCCCCCGGCTGCTGCCCCAGCCCCAGCCCCAACCCCCTACCCCCCGGCGCGCGCGCGCAAAGCACCCGCGCACTGCCCCCAGCCCTTAGCCCCCAACCCGCAGCCCCAAGCGCACCCCCCGAAGCCGTAGGCGCTCAGGCCCGTCTCGCTTACCTCGGCTGGGCTTCTGCCCATTAGCCCAAGCGCGGGCTCTCGCCCTTGCCTTCTTTTTACCCCCTTTCATGCTGGTGTCACGCCCCCCGTCCCGCTCCTCTCCTAAGCCCCTCTCGCAGCCCCCATCTCAATACGATGCAGTCTGCGAATCTCGCGCTCTGCACTGCAAAGTCTGTCGTGTTTGCGTGACTAGGAGCATCGTACCGCTAGCGTAATTCCCCCTCACCTCTCTGTCTCGCTCTCTCTCGCGCGCTTCGTCGATTGTGGATTGATCGACCATTCGGCCCTCGATTCGTCGAGCTTGTTTTCAGCGCTTCTGCCTTGCCTAGCTGAGGATTGAGCACCTACCTATGTCCGCTTCTGGCCGAGCGAGGCCGCCTCGCGAGACAGAGAGCGAGCACTAGCGGCGAGCATCTGTTGCGCAGCCCCTGTGTTGGTGAGCGACATCTTGGAGCTACAGGCCGCTTTTTCCCAAGCGATCCACTGGCCGGATGTGAGCAGTAGAAGGAGATAGAGAAGCGGACAGAGACTTCGTGTCCGAGTTGTTGCCTCTCCCTTCGTCGAGAACACGAAGTACGAGCTCTTTCGGAAGAACAGTGTGAAGTTGTGAAGAGGCAACGGAGCTTTAGAGTGAGTGCCGCATGTCGCAGGAATTGATCGTCTCTAAAGAGTAATTTTGAGGAGGAGGAAAAGGAAAGGGTTTTGTCACATCGGGCTTCATCACGGAGGAGGAGGAGCAGGAAGAGGAGGAAAAATCGGGCGGGAAGAAAAAACTAGTCTGATAATCTGGACGGGACGGGACGGAAGGTCTTAAGATATCGAGCTGCTCGGAGGACGAGGGGTCGACCTCGATGGAGGACCCTGATCACGTGAGAGATTGCACTCGAAGACATTTCTATGAGCCCATGAACAAGGCGAGTAAACTACTCTCTCCCATGGGTCTTGTTCATCAAGTGCAGTGCTCGTCGCATCCGTCTGTCAGTTCGTCGTGAGCAGGAAGTCGAAGTCTTCCTCGTTCGAGGCTGAAGTATTGGCTTTCCGCTCGCCTCGAGCAATCATTCATGGAGCCTTGAGGCCTGTCGAGCGGAATGGAGTCGTAGAGGTCTTGAAGATTTGGGTCATCGCAAATTTCTCGTGTTTGAAATGTCTGACATCGCTGTGGCTGGTGCACAGGTGCCGAGGTATCGTTACTGGACAGTGTCTGAGAAGCATGGGAAGGTTGGAGACGACGAGGAGGACGGGGAGAGCGGGATCGGTCTGCTGGGAGCCGATCAGATACTGGCAATCATTCAGCATTTGCCCATTCAGGCCGTGATATCGTTTGGCATGACCTGCAAGAGGTACAAGGCGATTGCGGAGACTGACGCGCTGTGGCTCAACATTTGCAAGCGCGAGTGGGGCAGCCGAGCCGTCGAAGCATGGCCCAGCGCAGGGCGCCAGAAGGCCGGATGGAAAGGCCTCTACCGGCAGATGGTCGTCCTCGGAGCCGCAGCCTGGCAGCGAGTGCAGCAAGGGCCAGTCTCGCCCACGCCTCGAGCCTCTCACACCATGAATGTCGTCAATGGGAGGATCACCATTTTCGGTGGTGGCTGTGATGGGGGTGAGTGATTTTAGCCCATCGTATCTAATTGATTGCTTTGCTTTATCTCCTTCATGGAGAGAACGACTCGCTCCGATGTTGGATGTGTTCGTCTGCCTCGTGTTGTAGCATGTGCGTATGTCGTGTCTGGAAATTTTGATGTTCACGAGCGGGTGAAGTTTTCGTGCTCAGCAGCTGTGGAAGGTGCAAAGCATCCCGGAGAAAAAAGTTGGCAAAATCGATCATCCAAAGCTCCTGAAACCTTCCCATTGTGGAAGCCTTGTTGCTCTCGCAGTTTCAATGTGCCTGTGTGATTCCGATGTCACTCACTGTTCTCTGCTGTGAGTGCTTTACCAGTGCCCTTCCTTTGTGAGTATGGGAGTCTCGTTTTGGTGAGACTTAGGGTTTCATTCTGGAGTTTTCATCTTCGATGACCTCATGATATCCCCCATCTTCACTTCGTGCTTCTCCAGAGCTGAACTGAGTCTGATCGGATCCCTCTGACTTACGCAGCTCCAAAAGCCACTGTCAGAGGAGATGGCAGAGAGATGGCAGCCGATTAACTTGTATGTTGAATCCATGGAAAGCCTCGTGAACAAATGTCATCGCTGAACGAAGTATGAAACCCGGATCTAATCGACTGCCAAAGAAGCAGAGTGTCGAAGAAGTAGCTGCTTTTGGACAGGACTGAGAGAGCTACTCTCCATGCAGTGTGTGTTTTCAACTGCGTTTCCTCCTTTTGGAGGACATAGGCGTTCGTTGCACTTTGCAGTGGATGTGTTTGTGATCGCTGATGTATCAATTCCTGTGCTGTCAGCTTGGTGATTTACGAGTGTGGACACTTGTTTGCAGGGCGGCACTTGGACGACACATGGGTGGCTCCGGTGCCTGAGCCGATCTGTGCACCGGTGCAATGGCAGCTGGTGTGTTCAGGCCTACCTTCCGGCCGGTTTCAGCAAAGCTGCACTGCTGTTGGAGACGACCTGTTGCTGTTCGGGGGAATAAACGATAAAGGAACCAGGCTTAGTGATACATACATCAACAGTGGGGGAATGGTTGCAGGGGATGGAGAGAGGCCGCGATCTCCCTGGCGGCTGCTGGATGTGAGTACAGCTCCACCTCCTCGAGGAGCTCATGCTGGATGTTATGCCGGCGATAGGAAGGTAGTCATTTTTGGAGGTATTGCATCTGACGCAACGAGGCTCGGCGATACGTGGATCTTGGATCTGGCTGCCACTCCACTCTGCTGGCAAGAGGTTGTGACTCCCACTTCTCCCCAACCGAGGGCGGGCCACACTCTCACTTGGGTCGGCGGCAAACGGATGGTTTTGTTCGGTGGCCGAGGAGCCAATTTTGAGGTAATGAATGACGTCTGGATGCTGGACTTGGAGGAAGAGTATCCTTCGTGGGTGGAGCTTCAAAGCAGCATGCTCCAACCCGGGCATGATCACCCAGGTCCACGCTCGGGCCATTCTGCCACGCTGATTTTCGGAGGTAGAGTCCTCATTTTTGGAGGAGAGGACTCGAGGAGAGTCAGGAAGGGAGATGTGTGGGTGCTGGATCCCAGCATGGCCCTTCAAGCTGGTTCAGATAAATCGTCCTACCAAGGACAAGGAGGATTCTCCAGAAGTAGAAGCTCTGGGAATTCGAGTAGTTACAGGTACTCTCGACGCCTTTGGAAGAGACTGAAGCAGTCGGGCAGACCTCCGAGCAAACGATCCTTCCACGGAGCCTGTGCCGTAGACTCCGGGAAACATGTCCTCATCTTCGGTGGGATGGTGGACGGCGAGGTCAATCCTGCCACTGGCGCTGCTGGACTCGGATTCGACTCGGAGCTTCACATACTGCAGTTGGTGCCGTGAAGAAGAGCCGATGGTTTTCGTCGTCCTTGTTACCACAACCTGCAAAACACAGGGCTTGGACTGGGTCCCATGGTTGGTCAATTGACGAGAGTGAACGCGACTCCACCAATCGATCTTTGTGGAGAGCAGGTTCGCCGGATGTCGGTCGTCAGGGTAAGATCTAAGCACGTGTATTGTTTGTTGGGCTTCTGGAACCCGATATGAGCTAGTATGATGCAGGATTTAAGCCTATGATGGCGGCCGCCAGCTTTAGTGCTGCTTGTGAATATTTTAATATGACGCAGCTTATCAGATTGGCATCCGTCTACAGGTAATATGTAAATTAGTGCCGTGAGCCGAGTTCATCGGTCCAGGCACACGAGGCATTTCATCGAGGCCGAACAATCTACGAGGTCCGCTTTTGTAACAGCCGATCGACAGGCCCTCCCAAGTATCAGCTTTGTATCTTCTATAGACGGTTAGATATCATTTGTACATAGAATAGGCATCGGAGATGACGCCGATGACTTAGGTGTCATCTGCTTATACTTTCCAACTGTAGGCACACTTTTAATGAAATGGCAAAGGTTGAATTCGTTTCATTCCTCTCGGACGAAGATGAGATGATGGTGATGCATTGTAATTCTTTCTTACATCATATTGGTAACACTCTCGTTGACCCATCCGTCTTTATCAACCTCCCGGAGCATTGTGTGATGCCTTGCCCGGCCTTTGGTATGTTTGATACAGGTGCCGATCGCTCGCCGAAAAAAGTGGTTAAAAAGTCTGACCTGAGATTTCCACATGCCCTTCTGTCTGGTGCTTCCCCTGCCCTATTGTCATATGTTCACTGTCAAGCGCCGAGTGTTGATCCAACCTTCATCTCGGAGCAAGAGAAGAAGAGTCCCCCTTTGAGGGACACTCATTTTTTCGCTGGAGCAATTCGTAATCACTCAAGTGGGCTCATCGAGCTTGAGAAACTAGGTGTATGTGAAATACACTCTCATGTGAGCATTACGTAATATTACGGGAAAGGAAAGCCCGAAAGAACCAGCAGTGACTGCTCCAGATGGATGCTGCGAAGTATCTTCTTTGTTTAGTACAATTGCTGTCTCACCTATTTGGGAATATGGGGGGCCATTTGTATATCTATCACTCAAGGCACTCTTCTTTTGAGTTAGCGGGTCGACAATCTGGGATGGCTTGTCTATAGTCATTCCCTGCATACTGCTGCTGCTCTACTTAGCCCTTAAACGTAGTTCCATGAGGCATTCGGGGTCGCTGTCTCAACCGTGATAAGTTCTGCAGTTGTAACTTCCCTCTTCGTGACATTGGCGAAATCCACGTCCAAGTAGGAAGGGCTTGGATCAAAGCAATAATGCTCTAATTACCCTACACTTGTTGACAGAACCGACTTAAACGAGGACTGTTAGCCATGACCAACTCTCGAACAACCTGGTCACAATACTTCTCAAACTGCTGTGGATTTTTTCACAATCTACAGCAGGCGTATCCATGTCTCCTGCCCCATCTCTTCTGGAGCTGGGGAGTAATTTGGAACCTTTCTTAGAGTTCAAGTAGTGGATTTTCACACAGGTTTAGATGCTCGTGAAGGTGATGATCCAGTTCAGCCAAAAAGTCATTTTGACGGCAATTTCTGAAGCAGCGTTTCGTGGCACTGGTCGGATACGTGGTCATTACGTGCTCGGACATTGGAGCGAACACTCCATAGATGCTGCGGTCTGGTCATGGATGCGCCGATGAAGTCGGTAGTTGGTGATTTGTGTCGATCCACATTTCGTTGGTCACAATCGATTGCTCTGTAGATTGGAATCGTAAGAAATGGAAGTGGAACAGAAATTCAGGCAAGTCAATGAATTTTGATTGGAAGGATTGCCAGAGAGTGGAGTGCAGGGGATGAAACGATGATGACAATGAGCATGGCGAGGAGACACACACTCTATCTCACTAGTGACAGCCAATTCACTACTTCAAATATATTCGTCTGTCCAATGATGTTTGAAACATATTGGTATTTCTAGCCACTCCCATTGGTTTCGTACTGTATGCATATGAATCTTATTTCATCTTTCCGCAATGAGGACGATGAGTCTATGAATGAAATTGTTTTGAAGAGACTAATTGATGAATGATTTCCGAGAATGAAGATTACACATGTCAAAATTTGGAGATATAGATAATTTCACATTTTTGTTCGTACATAGGATGAAAATGGAAGGATTTGCGTCACAGCAGCAACTACAATATTCACCAAATTCACTTCCAACGCACTTTTGCTTTCAACATTTTTTTTTATCATATTCTCTTTTTATGTTTGTGATTCCATCAGATGTGATATAAATGCATCAGATTTACGACCTTTGCGTGTATGCATTGTACAAGATATCATTGACAGTATCATGTAATTCATACAAGAATATAAGTTGAGAGTTGGAATAAATGTTAATAAAACTTGCACAAAAACTGCATAATCTTAAACATATTTAATAATTAACATGTAACAGTTTTGAACAAAAATTATTTTGATTGATTTTACTATGATGTTTGTTTTCTTTATTCATCAGACATAATCATATGTTTGAACAAACAAATTCTTCAGATTTCCAAGAGTTTTTTCGTCATCAACATGCTCAAAAATTTATTTATATTTCTGAACAGGAAGATAGATGAAAGTAAAAATTAGATTCCATGATTTGATATATTTTAATTTCAAGGAATCAATGATGGACATGATACTTATCATTTATCGTGTTTATAAAACAAGTATCTTACATATAATATACACTGGATTTAAAATATAAAATGAAAGATTCCACATGAATAAATTTTTTGTGTAACATATTTCACATTATTTTTAGACATTTACATCTGATTTTAAAAACCACCAAAAACTGATATTCTTATAAATCATATCAATGCCAAAAGATGATTTGAAGATTGAAAAATCCAAATTGATAGTCAAATTTTTTAATGCTTGAAACCTAGATTTGTGAAATAATTAGTTATGTGCAAGTTATTTTATGTTATATTGTCACTATGAAAAAAAGCTACCAAAAGCTCTCAATGACAGGCTATGATTTTTTTAAATGGAAGCCAATGTGTTCACTTGCAGTTCGTACTTAAATGGTATATTACATATCATCAAAAACAACGTGTGTGCTTGATATGTTAAAGAATAAATTGAGAAAATTTTAATTTTGAAAATTAAACATTAAATTATTATTCAAATTGCTTTTGACTTGCATTTCTCTTTTACTTTCTAAATAAAAATGGATTTTTATTGTAAAATTGCGTAGAAAACTCAAAATTGGATTTTTGATATGACATATGAATTTTGAAATTTTAGAGATATTTATACCAGTTTTTTTAATGATTTTTTTATCATAGAAAATATTTAAAATAAAAATTATTGATAAATTAAAAATTTATGAAAAAATTAAAATAAGTTATGGATTTATCTATTTCAAAATTTTTCATACTAATTAGAATCAAAGTCTATATTGTTGAAAATGCAAAAACAATATATCTGGTTTTATTTAAATTTCAAGTTGTACTGTAGCTCTAAATTTATTATAAAGAATAAAATATTGATGAATTTAATATAAAAATATTAAATAAAATTTTTTTATTTTATCAATATGTTACATGATTAAGCTATTTAACCTAGTAATTATTTTTGTACATAATCTTTTATGCAATTTTTCTGTTCAAATTTTATTACATTCAAAATTTTATAATTTCATATATATATATATATATATGATAATTAGTTGAACTAAGGCCAGCACAAGAACATCACCTCATCAATTTACTCAACATGAAACCAAATAAAGTTGCACTATGAGCTTATTATGTCACTTTGATTACTAATGTGGAATTGTTACATGTAGTGGCGAATACAAAGCGAAAAAAGATAAAAAAGCAACAGTAGAAAAGAAATTTGATTTATTTTTGAGCAAAGACATATATTATCTCAAATAATATTTAACGTAAAATATAAGTAATTTTTTTTGAGCTTTTGAATCATTGATCTACATTATCAAAGCAAAATTTAAAATTTTTAGGAGCCATATCCATATATTATCATTTAAAGATATAAATGTTGATAATGAACAGTCAGAATATTTGGATAATAATTTAAACATTTGATGAGTCATAAAACTAAAAGATCTTTGAAAATACATAATTTATTTTGCAGGTGAGTGGTTTTTATGATACTTTGCAACATATGATATTAAAAAAAACATGTATAGTATTAAATCTAGTGAGCGGCTTGTTATACCTCAGTCTGATTAGGCCTGTAGTACAGTACCTCAGCTATTTATTCCTCACCCTACAATATTCTGCAGAACAACGGTTTGTGATCGATCAGAGTGAACAATTAGTTCCTTTGCATGTTCCATTTGAGGCTGGTGACATGTTGTCGTGCTTGCAGATTCTTCTAACTCTACCTGTATCTCGAGCCTACCTCTCCTTTCGGCCGATCCTGGCCACTGTCTGGGTTGGACTCTTGCCACTTTGCATCCACCCTCGATTGCAATTGGGGATGCCATTTCTTCGACTTTTTGCCGGTAAAACTCAATTTTCTTTGCTGAAAAGCTTGCACCTGCTATTCGGAAGAATACCTTTTGTGACTACTTTCTCTTTTCTATTACTGGTCGAGGAATTTGTTGTGATCTTGACCTCACTAGGGTTCTTTGGGTCAAGAATGTCACCGTTTATTTTTGATTTTTTCTCTACGCTTCTACGATTAGTTCGATGGACCATTGCTGATTCTCCACTTTGCTGCAATTCACACTCAAAGACATGCTCATTCCTCACAGAACTTTTCCCTTTCACTCCATAAATTAGACTAAACTCAAGGATAACTAGCCCCTCTCTGAATTTAATATATATAGTTCGAATCTTATTTTTTTAACACATAATCAATTAAATATATTTCAGAATTTTGAATTAAAAATATACATATAAAAAATTAATTGGTTATGATTGAATTTTTTTTATTAAAATGTTAAAATAAAAATAACTGGGAAAAATAATTAAAATTGATAAAACTATAATAAATTTCAATAATTATCACAAATCATATAATAAGTATTTTTTAGGAAAAATTATTATAGAAACGGCAAGATCTTGTAAAAAATTTCTAGCATCATTCTAGAAGAAGTAAAATTGATCTTAGTTTTGATTGCAAGCACATACACACAATAGAAAGGGTGGAATCTCAACCAAATAGGCGTGACGATAGATCTCTCAGTTGAAATTGTAAGTTTAGTGGACATTACCGAGCTAGTATATGGTTGTTGGATGGCCACCACGTATTAGAGGGTAATAATTGCATGCTCCGCGATTGTGATCGAGGTTAGTACAATAATGGATTCCCTCAGCTAAGTCACAATCATGGAGCAACATGTTTCTCGTCGTAGGATGGGATTGATCGATCGACAAAACAGGGGGTCAAATGCCGTCGAGATAATCTGCGTGCCAAGTTGAAGCCACACACAAGGATAGTACTCCGAGTGGACGGGTTGGGTCAAGTACCATCACATCTATTGTAAAAAGAACGCATGTCATTTCCTGACGACTTGATCCC